GCCGAGGAAAATAATTGAAGAATAATTTTATGTTTCACGATCCTTCATACTGATTTCTGAAAATACAGTATACAGATCTGTCTAGTATTGCGTATGTTCTTTCCAAGTAAGTGAAATATTTCCTAGACACAAATCATAAGTTTAGAAATGGTACCAATAACTTCCTAATTGCAGGTATAGTGCTCATTGCAAGGTACAGTTAGAAAAATAATCTTTTTCTAATCAAGTAAATAACATTTTGAGTTTCTATTACAAACATGCAAACTAATAACATGTTTCACGTAGTAGCGTTGGAGACAGTAATAAAATGCGCCTTCCATCCGTCTTTGAATCAAGTTTTATAATTATCAACTGACCAATTGCGTTATTGTAAGAAACATGTTTTACACCTTCGATTTAAATCTTCCTTAATGCAAGAGGATTTTGTTGAACGGCGACCATTCTTTATGTTCCTACCAACGCGAACGTTTAACAGGTTGTAAATGCCAATTTTATTTTCACCTCGTTCGACACGACGTTTACTTTCAATTTGTTACTTAAGATGCATTGCTCCAAAGAGAAAATTCAATTTCATAATCTCATTATTTTCTTGTTAAAAATGTTCCTGCCTTTTTATCCAGCTTATCAGTTAGTGAGTTATTTATTATTTAATTTTTGGATTACCTTACCTTATTGTACAGTATATTATTGTTTATTTTCACAACACCGAAAGAGTACAGATAGATAGAATAAACTTCTGTTTCCAATCTTTCAATTATCACCAAATTTATTTTATAAAATATTTACAACATTTCTAAGACGAAATAATTTTAAGTTATTGAAATTTCTCCTTCAATTTTCCCGCGGATTGTTTCACAAGTATTAATTTTCAATCTGAAGTCGTTCAACTAATAACAGATTGACGCTGACCGTTACAAAATCAGAGCTTTAACAATCTGCTGTTATTCCACGCTGCGGTAACGTTCGTGAACGTGTAAATTTGCAAGAATACGGTAAAAAGTACAACGAGCAATTACTCACAACGCGTTCAGAGGCTCGACCGCGTGAAGGTTGATACTGTCGTGCATTAGCATGTTTAATGAGGCATTTCTTGGACGAGAAACGCTGTAAAAATCTGGTTTTCGAGCTCACACAAAAAGAAAGAACACTAACGTTACCGTAGTCTCAACATCAACGTAGTTTTCCCCTGCATTTCTTCCCATTGCTAATTTCTTTCTACTTGCAGAGAAAGGAAAAGGAACCCAGGAAAATGGAATCCCACGGTTCCCTGACTTCCGAAAGTTTGAAGATTAATCGATTAACGTTTCACGACGAAAATTGCGTCATGCAGTATGGTTAATTCATGGTTCTACGAAGGGAAGATCGTGACAAGGGGACAAAAGCGGCACCTGGCCCGGCCTGGGAGGGACTTTCGAGGGACCAATACGTCCTCTTTCTGTACCAGACAATCTTGCACCCCTTTATGCGAGGTTTCTCCGCTTTGTCTAACATTTGAAGTCCTTAGAACAGATCCAGCTGCCTTTGTGTCTCGACGAGTCTTCGCGCTCTAACTGCACATGTGCAACCTTAAGTTTTGTTTCTTCTTCATCTTTTTATGGTTTAATTGGAATCTGAGCGTTTTGGAACGTTGTTGGTAATAGTGCGTTTAATAATGGTGCTTTTAAATTAAAAAGGTTATTATAAATTATAATCTGAAGCGTTAAATTTAATTTTAGACACATTGCCAGATAAATGAGCAAATGAATGAACTATATGTAAAGTCGCAGCATAGTTTACATATTATGAAACTGTACGATTACGCAAGACACGAGGTACATATTAGTATTATAATTACTATAAAAACTTCACATACTTCTGATAAATACGCGATTTCATTGAAGACAAGCGTGAGAGGGTTAGCAAGAGTGACTGTAAGAATAAGATTATGCAACCTGCGAACTGTTTAATGTGTCCGTACGTTTATCGTATAAGGGCTGAACGATATCCAGTCGCACTTTCTTCGACGTTCAAGAAGATCGATTCTCGTCTAAGCAACCTCGATCTCTCAGATCATTAATTCATTCCTCTAAGGAAATTTATTGCTTAGTAATCATCTTTGAAATTTTATTTTAGACTTGAAAGTAATCTATTTTCTGTTCTCTTCGATCATTCTTCTTCTTGAAAGTGTAAAATCACAAACTGACATGTCAATATCGGACACGACTTACAGGAAAAAAATGACACGTGCAATCTTGTATTTCAAATTATACATTACAAAATTGTACGTTATTTCCGTATCTCTTTCCACGCCAGTTTATTCTATTTTATTTATGCATAATTCAATGTAAAAATAGTACTAATAACAGGGATTTTGCTTGACTGGTCATGACTCATATCAATCATTTCCCGCAATTAACGTTAATTGGGCGAAACTTCCAGAGATGGCCGTTTGCGTATGTCTGATTGAGGAAAAGAAGGAACGCGAGTTCAGAGGAAAAGTCTTTGGAAAGCACGTACTTACTGTTCCATAATTCCCCCTTCTTCCTCGTGGAACTTCATGCTATCGTTATCCCGGAGTGCACTGATATCGTTCCTGCTACTATTTCTCTTCAGCTTCAGTTCCAGGTAAATGAAAGTCATTGGTGGAAAGTCACGACTCTGAGATACTGGTAAATCATTCATAAAAATCGTGACACGATGTCGTTTCATCTTTTTATTTTATGTCACACGTACAGACTGTAACTCGATCAGAATCTGGATCAAGAAACCGTAGATCGTGATGGAAACCATCAGTGCGGTGGTTAATGGAGAACGTTGGAAGTAGATTATCGAAATTTTATCAACTCGACGCGTCCAACGACGCAGTTTAATTACACGACAAGCGAAAACAAGATTCCTGGACCACGACAAAGCGTAACACGATTACTCATCGCCAGACGGGAACACTGATGGCACTGGTCAATGCAATTTCGACCAATCGATCCGCGATCTTTCATCTTGAAATCTGTGGTTTTTACTAGTTATCTGTTATCAGGCTATCACGATTTATAAAATTTAGATAATGAAAACAGAGAAATTATACGAGACATTAGAAGAATGATAGAATTTAAAAGACCCTAAGTGCTTCTGTTTGCAGTTATTCAGTAGTATTTGTTAGATGAAATGAAGAACTGGATAAAAGAGGCAATTAATTATGACAGATGAATTAATTAAGCAGGATTATTATCATATAAGTTATTGCTCGCTGTATTATGATGTAAAGGTACTTTACGAGCAGTCGAGAATGTAAATTTACCACATGCTCGCACGCGAGCGCGCACCGCGGTTGATAGTCGATAAAGCGGTCGATACTGATTGACGTGGTATCGTGCAGGTGCACTACTTTATATAGAATACCGCATGATCGACGTGTGAAGTATTGAAGTTTATCTGTGTAGCCGCTTGAACTCGAGATTCGGTTTTCTCAATGTTTCATTGACTTCTGCACTGTCGCATTAATGGTACGTGGTATTAATTTTTCCCTGGGGATAAGTTCTAAGTTAGATGCTTGTTTGACGTTTTCTAATATTCAGATACACGTGTTTTAAATAAATATATTGCAATGATCTTTTTGCAAATAATTTGAAATAACTTCTTGAATGGCGATTCTTATAGTATGATCATACCAATTGTTCGAATGCCTGTTTACAAATAACAAAAAATATTCAATATACGTATTCTAGTGAATTTTGAGTTCGTAATCGTAATTACCATGTTTTCTTATCATTCGTGATGTCACATAAGCAAAAAATTATGCTATCGTGTTAATGTTAACATTCACTGAAAACGAGTAATTTACAGTCTGGTCGATAGCAATCGATAGCATCGGTGTATGTTAGTTTTCAAATTTTCTATTAAGTGTTTTGCATAAGTTTCTAAACTAAAACTAAAGCCCCAATTCACCACTGTTATTCGTAGTCTTTCTTTAATTGAAAATAGATTGACTTTATCTTTCTTAACATAACATATTTACTTCGCTTCTTCTTTGCTATACTAACTCAAATGACTTGATTTCATTTATTCAACTTCTGCTTCACAACTTCTATTTTATTTTTTAGTATAAGACTCGACAACCCTGCAAGAAGAAGGATCCTATTCAGCAGCAACCATTGATCTTCTAAACTCAACCACCAGTCAATCAATATTCACATATATACTCCAATATCCATCCATCGTTCATCTTAAACACAAAAGGCGTCGCCAGTTACTTGACAAAGTCGTCTCCGACAACGTTCGAGATAATAATAATTGTTACAAAGGAACGACCGATAGACCGGTCGATAGAGCTTAGGGTGGCATAGGGTGGTTCATACATGCGTTCGTGTACACACACCACCGCTATATACGCGTCATATGCGCGCATACAAACCCACCAGGGGGAAAGACAAAGAGAAAGAGACAGGCAGAGAGAGAAAGGGAGAGGGCCGGCGACATGCGCCGGCCCTCGTTGCCGCACGTTATAATGCTGGAAGCCCACGAACGGAACGAACGTTCGACGACAGTCATTCAGAGCTCGACCAGTGTACCGCACGTTTCGTGGCTCCTCTCATCCTCGTGTTACGTTGTGCTCGATCACAACCACTCTTGGTTTACCATAATCATATCATCTAAGCCATTATTCGACCGGAACAGAAACTAGCAAAGGACGATGCTCTGAGTACGATCGTCACGTGCACGCCGGACATTATCGTCTCCCGGTAATTTTTCTCTGTGAAACGTTGATAGAGAATAGACACTAGTGACCAGTGACATTCGGGAACACTAGACTCTCCAGTGGTTAAACGCTTTCTTCCGAATACGCTTGATTATTCGGTAAGTAATTTCATTGTATTCTTCGTTGATGTTTAGTATACGCGGAGGGTTGTATAAGCGTAACGAATGTTGAATGAAAAGTCGCCGAAGATATGACGCGAACGACTGTAAACAGTTAAAGGTTGGGACGTTGAGTAATCGTGTTAGATTGAGTCGATAATGTTGCGAATTGTATTATGCAAGGTGCATTATGGCCAATGAAGCCACTGGTATAGAGTAGCTAACTTATTCCTGTAGAAAATCAGAAAATTAAAGAGTTCATTGGCTAAAATTCTTGGTGAAATTTACGAGATAAGTTTATTGATGTTCGTCTATGAAATGTTATGATAGTGTCAACCAATGGTGTGAAAGCCATGATGCAGAAGATTGGATACGGTGGTGGTTTGAATGAAAACAACCCTCCTCGTAGAGATGTCGCTAGTCCTCTTTGGCAATGATTCTTCTTTGTGCTGAACTGCGAAATTCTTTGCATGACGTCAGATTTTCCGTTATGATAACGTAGGACGAAAACTGGGTTCGGAAAACCCGGTCGGCGACCCACGTGGTCTATTGATTTTTTTAGCAGCCACGCCGCTACGTTCACGCTAGTGGAAACTGGCCTTTTCTTCCATCGGTTAGCGCACCCTGTGAATATCAGGTTAACCATGCCTGTCTGTCTTTCCACCATCTAACTCCGAGATTGGATTCAATTTTTTCTTGTAACAACCTTTGTATTTAATGTACTGTTGAACACATAATTATCTGAAATTATTCCCGAATTTTTTGGTGAGAAGTATACTCTGAAAAGTTTGACTAATTAATAGATACACCATAATAGATACAATATATCCGCAACTATTTATGCACATAGGTTCCAGTAGTGTGGTATGAGTTTGTTTAGTGTCTAGTTTTCGACTCCTTGTATTATACATTGGTTTGTTTAATCTTTTATTGAAAATCTTGTTTAGCCATAAATTAAGATTCTCACTGTATCTAAATCCTCACAGCTTGCAGTAACAGGGATATAAATTTTTATCAATAAGATATTATAAGTTAACCTAGAAATGGTAACATCATAAGTGCATACAGCCTTTATATTAATAATTTTGATAATAATAGTAATGGATGCTATATATAATGTGATAAATAATTACAATTCCTGTTAGTAGTATAGTTAACTGAGATTCATAAACTCATGGTTGTTACGTTGGTCATTCATCCTAAGGTTTGTGATTGGTATAAATGACATGGTACATGTAATTGTAATAAATGTTTGATATTGATAATGAATTATACAAATTAAGTTCTCAAATTAGATGCATGCTGCAGGTGATCGTGTTCAGCTAGGTATAGTATTACAAAATACGCCTCGTCCCTTATCACAACAATCGACCTGCAAACGGATCGATAACACATCCCCAACGTGATTCGAACATGTTTAGTTACCATTTCTGACAGATACGTAGGGTCGCTAGCATGACGCTGGTAAACATATGATGTGAGATATCTGAGGGTTAGGCATCTTTTAACCAAAGATTTACAAATATTATCTAAACCAAACTTGGAATTAGAAAAATATGGAAATGGATTGAAAGATTATTCAGTAGGTATTTTCGGTAATAATTTTAATAGATAAAAAGATAAAGAAATCAATCAAATCCATTAAATAATAATATGAATAATAATCTTTTAATCGCTGTTCATATTAATGTTCAGATTTCGAAGTTTTGTAAAGGTTGGAAGTTTTAGGTTAAGGTTGGTCATGTCCATCAAGTGAATCGCGAAGGAAATTATTTTTAATAATAATTTCCATTAATCTATGTTGACCGAAGGGATTCATAACACGCAGTTATCTTTCACGGTTGTCTTAAGTACAGGTTATGTTCCCGTTAGACGGCAAAGAGAGCGACGTGTCGGTGTAGAATCAATAAAAACTGACGTAATATTCCACGAAAGTTTGGGGAACCTCCAGACTCGTCTGAATTCTTTCTCGATGAACGTGCATGAAACCAAATTGTTATGGGTTAGGTGTTTCGAATTTATTCGGCCATGAACTTTTAAATTTTATACGCAAAACACAGTAAAATGACTAAAAACAGGAATTTACTGAGTAAATTATACATGTAAGTTAAGTAAGTCAATGCTATTCCAAATTGCAGTTATTTTAGTTTCTTATCTATTCTTTTATTATCCTGTTATTTTTTTATTTTTAATACAGTGACATATATTATGTCGATTATCAGAATAAGTTCAGTGATATTCTTTTATCTAAAAATGTTATAATTTACTTACTTTTACTACAAGTCATTTTTTATGTTTCCTGAATTCTCAAACCATTTTCATAGTAATAAGAACAAGTAGACTTGCAAATAATCAACTCGGTAAAATATACGATGTTTAACTTGTTTTAAAATCGTATTTAAATTCAACCTTAAAGTGAATACAAAAAGAGTGATAATATTCGCGTTAGTTATAATATTAGAAATTGCTATAATTACTTATACCGTAGTTTCGAGTAGAAAAAACGTTGTTAAACGATATTGCGCCGTATTCGTTCATGCGATTCCAGCAAGAATATAGTAGGCAAAGATGGAACCAGTAGTCGAGAAAAGGGGTTCCTAGTTCGCCTATGGGTAAGTTCAGAACAAAGTTTTCGCCCGTATATCCCTCAGATGAAAGGGATCACGTGTATAATACGGTTGTGCATGCGTGTGCGTGATTTCTTGATGTCATGCGTGTGCAGCTTGAGGAACAAGCTTGAAGCAGTACGAGTGCTGCCAAGTCTGTCGCATTAGGACGTTGAATTAAAAGGGGTTGCTTGTACGTTTCTTCTTGTCAGGAGCTCAGGAATAAAGCTGTGCAACCAAGTTTCGGCAACCGGTAGTTTATACTGCGCCGAAATGATGGATTATGTTTTCGAAGAATCCAAAAAGAAGGCTCTATTTCTTTAAAATAAAAGAAAAAATATCATTTGTTTTGGTATTTTTTATTAATTTTATTATTGCTACTTTTCATTGAATTTTATTAAAATTAGTATTATGTTTCGTTTAATTCTTATGGAAAACTTTCTAAAGTAATATACTTAAACACATTAATTATAAATTAAAATAATATATAATTGTACAAATATTTCATTTAAAATTTCTAGTACAGTTCGTTTTATTTATTAGGGTCATAAAAGATTTCTTAAAATTGACACGTCCCACAAAAAAATTAAAACAAAATATTTTGCAATGTTCAATGTTCAATGTTTACCTACAGTTATTTGAAAATAAACAATTCATGAATATAACGTTGCACAATATTTGTCAGTTCAGTAATATTTTCTTTCTTCTGCATTCAGTTATTTAAATATTCTAGTGTTGTTGCTTTTTATCGCTGCACACAAAAGAAATTGCATTTATATAAGCAATTATCATATGGTTGAAATAATATGCTATCTCCGAATACAAGATGCGAAAGAAATTCGATAACGCTGCATCCAAACGAAATACGGCATCGTGTAATCATTAATAATGATCATAAGACTCACATGGTATCGTTTGTTGTGAACTTGTTCTTTGATTGTGGATCCTAAAGGGTGTCGATTGCGTTAAGACTCAACAAGTAGTCATCCGTTCCAACACGAACATGCTGCCTATCTTTATTTACAATGTATGTACATAGATGGACAGATAAAGCAGTAAGAATGAGGGGAAAGAAGAATAAGCATAAGGAGAAAGTCCAGAATGTGATAGTATCTTTTTTACCTTTTTTGGTTTTCCAGTAATATTTTATATGATATGAAATTTTTAACACGGTAGCCTTAATTATAGAGGTATGGTTTTATAAACTAGATTACTGTCTTCGTTATTGTTTGTAATTTATCTCCAATCAATGTTTAATCGTAAGAAACGTAATTTATATGTAACCTGTAAGCTGCATTCATTTTTCTTTCATGATATTTCCATACTGTGACACAGTCCAATTATACAAATTTTCAATCGCGATACCTATAACTTAACCTATAACTTTTCATTACCAAACGTTCAACTTATCTTCCGGGCCAAGGATAATTATCAAAATATTATAATGTGTTACCCGAATGACACTCTTATTATCGACGCAACTTTATTATCGACGATTAGCCTGATAGGAATTTCCAAAACGCACCGAAAATATCGAGTATGTATGTAATTCAACGCTTGAACGCAGAAACGATTGACCTTCAGTATCGATGTATCATCCTCTGACAAAAACAGCCGTATATTTAAAAATATACTGTGCACAAATCCGTGAAGTTTCCGCTGTGACTAAGAAATCGTGATGAAATCGATGTAGAAAATTCATCGAGACGCTCAGCCGATAAGTCACTCTCTTTTCATGTGGTCAGGTTGTAAATTATTCCTCGCGGTTGCGTAGATACAATTACACACTTGTTTACCTCAATCGTCCGAATAAACGCGCGAAAGGATCGACTATCGATTGCGACTGTTCCCTATCGATATTATGTGCGATGTATTCTCGTGCACGTTGTCGCCTTATTCTTCGTTTCTTTTTGTCCGCGGCATGACGACGATTTACGTTGATGTTGCTCGTTTCGTTCAATCACGTGCGTATATCCCGCGTTTATTGACACGACGTTTAGAGGACGATTTTCATCGGGTCGACCGTTTTACATGTCCAATAAACAAGGATTGTGAAGATCAACGAAGAGGAAAAATGCGAGATACGTACGGAACATTCGGTATGTTGAATAGAAGAATAGTTTGAATTTCATCGACGCTTTTCGCTTCTTATCGGTAAGGTAGAAACGTGATAAAGAAACGAAGCAATGTCAGAGGTTATGTTTGGATTATGTTGATTTAAAAATTATAGTGATTCGAATTTATTTGCGTTTTATTTTTCTTTGAGGTTGTGTAGTCTTGTAATTTTGTGAAAATAAATAATTTATAACTACATACGTCAGAGAATTAATCTTAGGTTTTGCTACCGGTTTAATGTTACTTTCTACGTTAGTGGCTAAAAGTTTACGTGTCTTTTTATTTAATTTCTTGTCAATGCTACCGAAGCGAGGATTTTCTTTCGAGGTTTCGTTATGATTGATGTCTCGTGTAGTGCCGTTGTTGAATTAATATGAAATATTCACTAGTGAAACCGGTGTTAAAACACAGATATCGTAGTAGTTTATATACAAACACTCGCTTTCGATGATTTTTCTTCTGTTTATATTCTTCCTTACAGATATTGATATACACATATCTCTACCAATCTCTATTTCTAAAGGAAAATTCACTGTCTCTAACCATGGAAATCGAATATAACCTAACTCTTCGGTATAATCGAATAATTTCTTTTAATTATCCAGTGGAATTTTAACATGGACCATTCACAAAAATCGATTCGAATCCGTACTAGTGTTGCAAAACATAAACTGTAGAGGAATGGGAAGGCACAGTAAAGGTAAAGTTAAGTCTGGCCGGTTCTTATGTATCATGGTATCACGACTTCGATCGATTATAAAGCAATTAGGGAATTCGTAGTATGGTTAAATTATTGGTTTAAAAACGATCGATAGAGGGGAGTAGTGGATTAAGAACTGGTTTGTCACCTTCGAATATGTCGGGTGATAGAAAGGCGTGTATTGACGTTCGTGGACAGGATTGGTCGATCGATGGCGATTCGAGAAAAAGATCGGTGCAAAAGACGAACAGTTTTTGTGGTGTATGAACGAAATTTCGTTTCGCGTGTAGTTGAATGAAATTGTTAGTCGAAAAATGTGTGTTCATCGGTGCATGAATGTTTGTGGACGATTCTCGGATGTGACTCGATCGATAAGGAGTATGTGAAAGTAAATCGATTGATTGGTAAATATAACCTTAGCGTTTATTATCTCGATCGGTGGGTTTAATGTTCGTTTTCAACGAATTCATTTTGTTATCGCGGGAAACAAGGTGCAAGGTTAAATTTAGTATCGATAACTCAAGTGTACGTCGAGGAAAGGGATTTTAGCTTCTGCAGTGAATGAGGAATGTCTATGCCTGAGATAAAGTGCATTATCTCCTGTTTTCTCTCGAATGAACAAATTGATATGGTATGCTGGCCAGTTGGATTGATATGTTTATGATTCCTTAATGAAAATTATTTTGTAACAGATAACGTGATTCTTAATTTGATTTGTTGATATGATAATGCTTCAAGTGATTTTTAGTGGACTTAATCTTGTTCTAATTTTTTAATTGGGATGAGGTGGAGGGGGAAGATATATTTATAGGATATAAGGAAATTACTGTGTATATACGATGAACTTATTATTGATGGTGCTAATTGAAATTATGCACAGTTGTAAAGTATATATATATATATTTTTTTTTTCTTTTTTATGGTGCTTATGTAATTGATATTAATTAAAATAATTTCAGATTGGAAAAAATTTGTCATTCTAATTTATTATTTAAACAGAATAAAATATAATACTTAAATACTCGAAAGAGATTTATTCATAGTAAGTATTACATTAAATAAATTTTATTTATTACAAAAATATTAATTGGAAGAGTATAATTTGGAATAAGAAATATTTTTAAAAAATTCAGGTATTCGTTATCTAGATTTTCTATGTTTTTAAGTCATTTTAATCTACAGTAGTACTATGATAATTCAATTTCGTTATCTTACAGAAAAATTTCCGCTACTAGCACTGTTTTTAGTGTAGACTTATGCTAGTTATAACAAAAATAACAAACTTGCACAGCGATTACGTTCTCAGTTAATATTTGGGAAATTTCTGAAGTAGAGCAGACAAACGACGTTATAAAGACCGACCAAGCGATAGAAAGGTGTGTATCGAGCTTCGTGAACACCATTGGCTAATTCCACACTCGCTATGGAGAATTGGAAAAAATCACAATGACGCGATCAGCTGGCAAAAGTCGCGCTCCAACGATCTCGTCTGACGACAGTCGATACCTGGCCGAGGATAGTCTTACTAATTATGCAAATGAAACACCAGTTTTAATAGTCTGTATTTAAATTTACATTTGGCAATGTACATCTTCTGAACGACTACATGAACAGCTTGTTCTTCGAGCTCGTCCTTGTTTGGAACCTTGTTCAGATACGATTTTATATGAGTTTAATAACAGAGAAAGGTATGAGTTAGGCACGTAAATAACAAAGTATCATTTGTTTCCCCTGTGAACTACATTTCCATCAGTATCTAACCGATTTTAGCATAATTTATACTGACACGAGGAGAAATTGTGCGTTCATGGAAAAGCCATTTTATTATGCGCGAATAAATTTCCATTAATTTTATTATCAATCGAATACCAAGATCCATTCGTTTAACTATGTATTTAAAGAAGACCAGTGTGAGATCGATTGATTAGTTCGTAATATTAATTTAGCAGGTTATCCATCGATAACCTTCCTTTACAATTAAGGAATTATACCTCTTAATCAATGAAGTTAGATCTTACATATGCTCGATATTTATTATCCAACTTAGTGTGAAGTAACTACGATAAAGATAGTTTCTCTCTTTTTCTTAATACAGATACAAGGAACAAAGAATGAACGTTCTGGGAAATGTTTGCAGTATATTTCAGCTTCATCAATTTGTCCTGTAAATTGCACCAATAATTGTATTAAGACATTCATTAGTCATGCAGAAACTCAAGGCTGTATTCTACTGTACTTTGAAGCAATAATAGAAAGACACTGAATTTATTTGTTTTTCCATCGAGCTTCGCGTATTTTTCTGCGAAAAGTCGAGAGATGAATTGGCCGGACCAGCTACATTGTAAGAACCCTACGTATCGTTTCTTACCAAGATGCATTATTCAAGGAAAAGGAACGATGGAAATTCCTATGAGGAAATTCCTTCGGTAAAAGTGGAGCAAAGCAACGATAAGCTGTGGCTTTTCCAATTCTGCTTCTCGAAACAATGCTTTTTATCTAATGAATCGAATAAGCAGAGAGTAAAAAATCGCCGCCTTAGACACGATATTTCGTACGATGCCTTTTTCGTGCCGGCGTGATCCATCAACAGGTGGTGTTTTCGATTCCGGAGAAATGCTTGGGGAGAAATAGAAAAGTATCTAGAACTTCTCTTCCATTAAATGATGGAAACGCGATTAACATACGAAAATATTATAGAACATGTAGATAATTTAATACAGTATAACTAGCTATAAGATCTGTTTGCGCGAAAATGTGCTAGCTTTTGAATGAAGAAAAATATGATTTCAATTTCGAATATTAACAAATGGTGGGGAGATGAAGTCTCTATAGCTCATGTAAAATAAATTTGGGATTCAAGGCTGTTAAATAAGCAACTTCACTAACTCTTCACTTAGTTTCTCGCTTATCTTCTATATTTTCTCAAGTATTTTTATTTAAGTATCGTAGCAATATTCTATATTAATTTAGCAATATTCTATATTAATTTAGCAATATTCTACCATCGAATATATCAAACTATATACCAATATTTACATCTTTATAAAAATGCAAGTAAAAGGTTTGATGTGTTTTATGAATGAACTGACAAATCGAAGCGCATCGATTTTCATGGAAATAAAATTAACAAGGTTCCACTGCTCTCGCTTGTTGCAGGAAGGATGTCGAAGTCGGGAAGCATCAAGGATGGCGAGAAGGGACCGTACGACCCGGTTCCGACCGGCGACAAAGGCAACGACGAGATCAAGCTGGAGGCGAAAATGTCCCTGCTGAATGGCATCACCGTGATCGTCGGCTCCATTATTGGATCTGGCATATTCGTTAGCCCGACCGGTGTTCTCAAGAACACAGGAAGCGTGAATGCGAGTCTTCTGGTGTGGACAGCTTCCGGTATCTTCTCCACAGTACGTTCACCATCCTCCTCATCTTCTTTCAGTCGATAGTTCGATTCTCGCTAGTAGCTCGCTCCATAAAAGACATAAAGTTTTTAGGAACCTTTGGAAACCATGTGGAGAAACCAATCTTGGATCTATGGATTCCATGAAGCTTTGGGATTTTAAGAAGTAGGAACTGCAATTCCTACTGTGTCAAATAAGATTTTATTATAAGCAACATTGCAAAAAGTTGAAGATTTATTTAGAAGTTACGTTGAAATTCAGGTTTTGGTTCCCATGTGGTTTGGAAAGCTATTTCTCTTTCTTACACGAATGTTACATTGAGGCAGTTATGTAAAGCTCAAATCATACTTCGGTATTCAGACAATTTGGAGTCGCGTTCCTTGGATTAATTATAAGATACATGTAATTCGAGATTAAAGTGTACGTTGAAGTTTCTTGCGTGATCGATCAATCACTTAGAATCGTTGGTCTACATTCCCTCAGCGATTTCAGAAGAGAGCTAACCTGATACGGTAGCAAGTCGATCACTGTCCATGCATGAAGTATATATTAATGGAACGTTATAATACTGGCACTTGCAAATCGCTGTTAGAAACAGAGGAGAAAGTTAAACAGTCAGCAACGTCGAACCATGTTCTAACTATTAATTTCACACGGAAACGGATTCCGTTCTTCATTTTCTGTTCAAAGCAGTTTCTGACTAAGAGACGTTCCATAAATCGTTCTTAAAAGCTTGTAGATGTCGCGATATCGTGTATATCCATATTCATCACGATTTAAGCCGTTCGTTTGTTTGTTTGTCGAACGACAGGTAGGAGCATACTGTTACGCAGAGCTTGGCTGCATGATCAGAAAGTCGGGCGCCGATTACGCGTATATCATGGAGACCTTCGGACCTTTCCTGGCGTTCATGAGGCTCTGGGTTGAGTGCATGATAGTGCGGCCTTGCAGTCAGGCCATCGTGGCCTTGACTTTCAGCGTTTACGTGCTGAAGCCGGTGTTCCCGGACTGTACACCACCGGACGATGCCACGAGGATACTGGCAGCGTGCTGCATTTGTAAGTAAATTGTAATCTTTATCTCTGTAATTGACTTCTGTAACCTCGCGTTAACAATTATAACCGTAGATAATGGTTATTCTGAACATTAGAGCTTATTGAATTCACAGTAAAAGGAACAGAGAAATTCTTATTCATTTCTTGAGAGTTGTCTCATTCCTTATTCGGTATTAATTGTTGTACATATATTTATTTGCTTAAAACATCTTGTCAAACATCTATCTATCCAATGAAGGAGATGTCAATGCACCCAACAGTGGCTGAAGATTTCTTAAGGAATCCCCTTACTCTTTTCACTGAGAAAAAGAAGAAGATAAGAAGAGATATAAAATTCCAATTGCCAAGAAAATAATAAAGATGGAAGCTGAGTCGCATCGCATGCAATCAGTTGCATCATCACTTAGATTCACAAGTAATTGATTGATAAAAGGCTGAAGAACTTAAATCCACAATAAGAAACTGGGTTTGTTTATTCTCACGGAAATTAAGCTCTCCGTCCAAGCGTCGTTTAATCGATTGTGACTCTTCGTTTTATCAGAGGACCCCCCTCAGAATGATTCTGATTGGACCAACAGATTTTCTGACCGTTCCGAGAACACCATATAGCACTGTACTCCGCAATTGGATGCTCGTTCCATCCTCATTCACGACTACCAGCGTCGACTAATCGAATTACTTTCTCTGCTTTATCGTTGTTCATCTTTTTAGTCGGCTCTTGACTCGTCTCCTTTTGACTGGACTCCACCGTATTCATTTCAGCGGTCAATTATCGTAACGCAGTTCAAAACTTACATCAGACGAACGATACTCAAAAGTAAATACAGTCAAACGAAGATCTAGACATCGATAGTGCTAATTTATCTAATTGACTCTACTCGAATATCTAAATGCAAATCCTCGATTGCGTCCCAAACTTCTAATCCCTCGAGACTCGGAGAACGTTAAAAATGGAGAAACGAAAGATCGCCTGTTACAAAAATGTGCGAAGAGTATAATTATTCCTAGCACAAAAGTGTCATGAAATTTCCTGTATATTTATATTCAAATTTTCTTTAATCCCACGAGCTCTTTGGAACGCGTGAAAGAATTCTCAGTGGAGTAGCATGCTTCTGGCATATTAACACTATCAAGAATATCAGGAATATCTCTGAAGTATTTTAATTTCTCGCAAATATCTCTGACGCACCGTAAGCAGCTTGAGCAGCTGAAGAATGTCTCAAAGTAAGTGCTTTCATCAGAGTCGTACTCTAGGGATCGAAATGCAGTGGAAATGTCCCCGTTTCCCCTGGAATCCTTTTGTCCAGAGAGATCACCAATATTCTAATGGTCCACGGAATTACATCCTTGCCTGGTCCTTGACCATTTCTTCCCAGAGAAAAGCGGACTACCCGTTTCTCATTGTCGCTGCGTCCTTCGGGGAAGCTTTCGAAGCTAATGCAGTGCCCTGTTACGTGAACAATTTGTAATTCCTTCAATAATCCTAGACTCGGTGCCGCCTAGCCTCTTGTTTTCCCTCCAACAACGCAGGACATCCCTCGGAGACCTGGAGAACGTCCTTCTTCCGGTTTAATGAATCCTCCAGGGGAATCATGCTTCTGTTCCTCGGCCTCGGAATTAATGGAAGCTAAAATCGGATATCTTTTGGATTAAAGTCTTACTTTTGTTGTGGAAACGAGATCCGTACTGGCTGGAAGCTCAATTGGTTGTTAGCGTGTCCTAAAGAGGATTTTCTCAAACCCTTTTTCAAGAACCTCGTCGTACTCCATTTTGTCTACTGTTAACACTCCGACTCATCATCGAACACGCGTTTATCCAAACGTTATTAATCATGCGAATCGTCTATTCCGTATTTAGTTCCTCGATCTAACCTCAAAGCTCATCGGATGAACGAATAGATCAATTTGTTATTGTTAATAAATGTGGATCATGTTATGATGAAATTCTGCTTCTAAATGAAGTCAGTACGAATTTAACACTAGCTGTAAGAGGGTTAAATCGGTAGTTGATTGGTCGGTCGATGAAGAAACGCCGGTTCAAGCTGGAATTCGCGACGATCGTAATGGCGGCCTTCGAGCCGCTGTTTCCTTTTCAACGAGCAACTGTAGCATGAGTAATAACGAGACAAATGTTGCACGCCAGTATCCAGAACTATGTAAGAGCATTCCGTAAACACCTCGTGTTTTTTCCTCCATCTGTCGTGATCAAGTAAGATCGATCCCGGGTGATCTACCGGAGGGATCGCTTTCGAGAATTGTGCTGAAGGGAATTTCCGCGTTTGCTGTCGTGACGTCGTGATTTCCGGTGATTGGTAGCAGGAAATGATATTACTCGTTATCTTAGTCAAATTTCGCGGTAAACTCATCGTTCGTCTCTTTTTCCAACAGAAATCCCCCCTAATAATTCCCCAATCGCGAAATTGGAATTCTACAAATCTATATTTTAAGTTCAGTTACATAACCTATATTACCTAACCTATATTTAATCGAACATTCTTATTTCTTGTATATATACAATGATTTACACATGTAATAATTTCCAAAAAAATAAGCAGTTGGGTAATTATTATAATTGGCTCTTATCTGATAAGAATTTTTTTTGTTGTAATAGGAAAAAGTTACCAGATATGAATATATAATGTGACATGGAAATAAGGTTTTTGAGCAATGAAATTTACCTAAGGAATGGCAAATTTAAAATTACACGCAAAAGGTACATTTCCAAATCCATTACATACTCCATTAATTTCTTTTCCTTGATTACACTGATTAAACTGAATCCTCTTTTTCAAGCTCCTTAAGCTTCTGTGTCGCTATAAAATGACCAATAACCAACCAGCGTTCGATTCTTCAGCCACGAAGGAAAAGCCAAGCAACATTGACTCGATGAATCCCGCAGGAAGAGGAGAAAAAGCGTATTTTTCGGGAATCCCTCGAAGGGAATACCACAGAATAGATATCGAGTTCCTGTGGTCGCCGGGGTTCTTCCGCCTCTAGACTTCTATATAGTCTTATATATCGTTTTACAAAATGGCGTATGCAACACGTGCCCGCAGAAATATTCTGTTCTTTTCTTCGGTTTTCTCTGTCTTCCTCTTCCGCCTCCTTTTCTGCGGACAAAGCGTTCCGAAAAAACTGCGTTGAATTGCACACAACGGGGAAATATACCCGGCTCTGCTAGCGAAACGTGCTTCATACTCCTTGCACAGCGAAAGGTATGCGAATCAAGAGTTGGATTCGATTGTCGAGGTTTCGCAACGTTTTTATCTCTTAGGATAAGTACTCGCTGCTTTTTGCGTGCTGGATGTAATAAGGATAATGCGTCCATTTACGGAAATATCGAAGTGTTAGGAATTTTTTAACCTTGGCTTAATTGCGATGGAATTTTAATTGTCGAGATATTTTCATTTCGATAAGATTCATCTAACGACATATTAATGGTAATGATTATCATTATTGTTTTAAATAATAGTAACTGTAAATATTACATTTGTAGCTATGATGTAGGGAACTATCAGAGTCGATAATGCGATCATCCTACTACTGTTTTCAACGTTTCCGTGAATATTATCAATATTACTAATGGCTTCGTTAATTATATCAGTAATACGCATTATCAGACGTTACATAACACCAACCACAAAATTCTCCAAAGCTAAACCGACACTGGTATCTCTGTCAGCAGCAATTCCCTAATTCGACGATATTAAATACACTGTTAACACATTAGCAGTATGCAGGATGTAATCGCACTTTATGCAAATTAGCGTTATTCAACAGGCATAGCCTTTGCTCGTGTCTGGATTCATTTACAAGGATAAAATTTCCCCGACGAAATTCAACAAAATTAAACCATCGGTTTTACAATCTAGTTTTATGATCTATTCGTGGATTAGCTTTATGGTCTGCTCGTGAATTAGTTTTATGGTCTGTTTAGTGTCATTCAGCTTCTTGGATATCGTTCAAACGAACAGCTAATAAATCACTTACCTAATTACCTAAATCAGTTCGAAAAGGGACTAATAAATCACAGCGCAGCGTCTGCCATTGACGAGTTAATAATTCCAAATAATGGTCATTAAATAATTAGGAAAGTTAGCCAAATTTCCAAACAACCAAGCTAATCCAAGTCTCCTCGCTGCCGGACGAATTATTCATCAAACCACGGGATTATCAGCGACCAGCTGGTCCCAATAATCGCTTAATCCTATTTCCAATGCAATCTCCTTACATTCTTTCGCGCGGACCAATCGACAGGCGTTCGGTAGTTAATTAGAGATGCGCGGGCGAGCGATTATTTCCTGGCGACCGGAAGCGGCTTAGGCCGGAACCGCGTCTGTCCCGCGATGGACGTAATAACGCGTTAAATGTCGCGGAACTCGAACGGTGAAAAGGATTTTCCGATAGCGCGCGAAAGTGCCGTTGAAAGGAAACGAGCTCCGTTTAATTTCCGCGACCGGAGGAAAACGTAATGGCGTCTCCTACTTTCAGCGAATGAATCCGCCAGAAGCGAGCTTTCTGTGCTCTCGCGCGTTTGTTCTGGCCCTTTGTGCCACCATTTCGTCCCTCGAAATTCATTTTTCCCATTTTCTTCCTTATTCAAACCCTCGCGCTTCGGATAGCGCGGAATTGAATTCGAAATACCAGTAGCGGAATAATAGGAACCGATAATGCGTGATAACGAATATGTATCTCTTCACTTCTCTCCTAGTATTCTGAAATTCATGTATTCTTTTTGGCAAAGGTTCTTATTTTTAATCGTTTCCTAGAAAGAATATTGTACTATATAGATGATAAGATATCGAGAAAGTTGGATTCTTTTGAATACTTTAGAGTTTATTTAGCTTTCTTTTTCCACTTTCCTTATTTTTAATTTCTTCTCGGAAACAATATTGTCATGAGATATGGTAAATTTGAAATTCAAATATGGCGAGGAAGCGGATGACGTAGGGTATCAAGTAATAAATCGGTCATTAAGTAGGATCTCGATTTGAAATTTTAATCGAAGCGTATATTTGAGTCGGTTTTATAAATATGTTTAAAAGAAGCTTGCTCGGTGTATTAAAATTTCATTCGCGATAATCAGCTTGCTTTTCGTCGTTCTTTCATTCAGATCACTTCGAACGATGTTCCGCTGGTGCGCGCATGTAATAGTGCAGGAGAAAATTAGTTCCTAGAACGAGCCTCCAGTGATGAAGATCAATAATTAAGTCCAAGGGAAATCCAGCCGGTCTAACGTGCAATTACTCATAGAAACATTTGCTCGTGCGTTTCATACTTGAATCGTATTCTCCAAACAAACGCGTCTATTCTTTACGAAACGAACGGAGACATGTCTGTGTCAAAAAAGCCAAGCGAGAGCAGAGCGAAACTGTACGTAATTAATTCGCAGGACAATCACTTCTGCCAAGTCACGTGTCGTTGAACTCCGCCTTCATCGTGCAACAGCATGCAACCCGAAATGCCAACGACCCAATATTCCGTCAGGGAGCCTCTTTTTCTCATAATTCATTTCATTCTAAACCTAATTCACCTTCTCCGTATACTCATAAAATATCGAGATTCGTAATTTCGTAAGATTCCCGTTTCTTCGGAGTTCAATGTATACAAGCGAGTCGATACTATACGGGTATCTAAACATGCACAGTGTAAAATGGCTGGGTACACGGATGCTTAATGTAACAACGAAGTGCCTGCGCGCATATGAAACACGCGTGTCCACGTACGTTTTTGATTTACGACGGTGTCTAATAGACACACAGGTACATGGGCGAAACGCAGCGTGTTTCCCGCTACTCGTTAAGTCTTGAAGAAGTAAATGGGCATAGTGAAACGGAGGCACTGACACCGCTGGAGGAGGATCGATATATCGGCCAGTGGAGATGCGGACGATTCGATCGAGCTGGCGTCGTCGAAGACGAGAGAGACGTTGGCAATATCGAGTGAAAAGGCTGCGCTAGCAATCACGTTCCATTGCGATTAAACCTAATCTTCTAATAACGTGTCAACTGGCAGCCGCAACAGCATAATTCGCCGAAAGGGGTCCCGGGGAGAGCGAAGAGGAATCGCGACCGAGATGCGAAGAGGAAGGACAGACAGAAGAAGTGGAAGACCAGTGGTATCTTCAGAGGCTTGGCTCTGTGGAAAAATTATTTTGAAAATCGAAGCAATTGATCGGCTGCTATTGATGTAGACGCAGAGAAAATTGATTTAACACTGGAAGTCGGACGAGTTGGTGATGACTACTTAGGACAGTCCGAATGTAAACAATTCCCTTTGTCAGTGAGTGTTATCGCCTTCTGTTTTGCACACTTTCCTGTTTTAAATCTCTCATTTTATTATTGTAGGAATAAAGAAAAATGCATGCGAGGTGCTCAATGATTGACCTGGGAAGTTGCTCAATGGTCTGGATACCGTGCTTCTGATAACAGTAGAGTTAAGAATAAATAGAGTAAATATTGGGAATTTTCTTCGAAAACCTACTGAAAATAGAATGGTATCTCGTCGTAATAAAGATTGGGAATTATACTTAAATGGTAACCGTGTTTATTATGAATCTCTCGAAAAGTATTATCATGTTACTAACACTGGAACTACCTATCTGCAACTATTTATACCTAAACATACTAGTCACAAGCAACAACGATCGAAGTGGAATAAGAAAAATAGAAACATATACGTGAAGTTAACATAAATTACTAAAAGCACCTGCATGTTCCCACTAATTACAAGGAGAAAAGATGCAAAACCTTTCGACTGCTTCGATAGTTCTAGTGTGAAAAAGAATTTGTAATTTATCAGTGACTTCGTATAATCTTGCGTACTCTAATTCGCGAAAGGTGTGTAAATAATTAAAACTTCAACGATTTTGAAGATCATGATTCTATAGATTTAATAAATTTCGTGTTCATTTTTGCATACATTCGTCGTAAGGAATAAAGATACTACGTTGGTCAGAAAATCACACGAGGGACTCGGAGTCGTGGAGGACAGCACTGGCGAAGACACTAGAACGAAGGAACAACCGGAGAAGGGGAACAGGGCGGAAAGTCTCGCGATATTCTTCGAGATGTTGCGTCAGTCGGCATTTCTTACTTTTCTTCGCTGACGAATCCGCCAAGGACGAAGGAACCGAGCAGCCATTGCGAGGTGGAATCTTTTTCACGGTCCTACACGCACATGTATTTTTGCATTGCGATCGATGAACCTCCTTTCGATACCATTTCAACGCCGATCGACGTCGGCCTAGCTGTGTCACTGAGTCAGCTTGAAATCGGGGATCTAGAATGCCCTTAATATGCGAAATATCGACCATGTCGACGAAATTGTATTCCCGAAGCCATTGGATCTTTGTCTGATAGACATTCGACGTTGGGTGTCAGCTTGAAATCGGGGATCTAGAATGCCCTTAATATGCGAAATATCGACCATGTCGACGAAACTGTATTCCCGAAGCCATTGGATCTTTGTCTGATAGACAAATTCGACGTTGGAATAACGATGATTGGAACAACAACTCGATGGAAGGATAATAAAAACGACAGTGACGATGATGAAGGACGAAAATGTAAAATTGTACGTGTAATTAAACGTTTAGAGAATGTTAAAAGATATTTAGAAAGAGCTTGTTCGAATACGCCTGAGGTATTGGGTATTTTATCGAGTCCAATTTGACGAAGGAATTCTATACACGTTGGAAATGCAAACTCACCGGCTAGTTGCATCAGAATTTTGACACGTGAGGCCATGACACTGAAAGATCATTGGCTATTACGCAAGCCTACGTATGGTTGTATTATCGTGTCCCTTTAGTCTCCAAGAGTCTTCAATGTTAAGCAACGAATAGCATCTACTGTAAACTATCTAATACAGATTCAGTTTGCAAACGGTATCTCATAGACAAATATCTCACGAACGAAATCTGAAGAGATCATGCTGTATCGAAGATAAAATTATACTGGAAATCCTTGAATACCCGATATTCAATAAGAGAATAAAAATACGCAGGTAGGACGAGGTAATCTATATCACTTTAAATAAGAGTGTGACCATTCGCTTGACAAATGCCACATTTATGTAAACACGAGCGTTTCATCGAAGCACAGCTGGTCAGTTCGCTTCCTCGTTCACCAGGGAACAGGTCGATAGTCATCCACGGTCGATTCCACCCCTGACGTCGTCATGGTTGGTTGGACTGGTGCCAGTTAGTCTGAAACGCTAGGCTAACGTACTCAACCGGTTCCGTAAAATAAAATACCTCACCACATGCTAATGTTATCGATCTATCTGACGCAGTTCGCTAAACAAACGAATGGTACGCCAGCTGCATAATTACGGAAGGTCGGGGGAAAATGATTGGACACATGTAAAACACGAGCCGTTTGCTCTTAAGTATCATTGAGTTGGACTACACTTGGAAGTGGGGTGGTGCAAGCAGCGCTGTGTTGTACTCGTGTTACTTTCAAGGATAATGATCGTTGTTAAGAACTGTTTGAGAGATTCGTAACCATTATATGTTATTTTAGAAAGGTGTGTTGAAGACAGAATTAAAGCAAGGCTACTGTTGTGGTACTGTAATTAATTAGTACCGTGATATTGAAACGGGAATATTAGAATCTTAATGATTATACGATTATAAAATAGACATAGGGATATGCAGGATCAAGTTATCCTGTAGCGCTTTTAATTAGGACACTGTTTAAATTACGATACCGTTACTATGATAATAATTTTAACTTCACATTCATGGCATAGTCCGAAGCCATAGTATCGTTAACAGTACTTCTGACGTAATAAGAATTCCATTGCGATACCTCGATCACGATCTCGATATCTCCGATTGTCTAGAAACGGAACCAGCTACGCGCGTTTCACGTAATCACGCACTCGTTAACATTAGGTAATCTTTCTTGTACTGTCACTTGGTCGACGCAAAAGTTTGCCCAATAATAGTCGCGTGTTATAACGTTGGCTATCGAGAATCATGTTCAGAGGCTTCTTCGGTTAAATCCATCGGTTAATGAATTTAATTAACACGCGTAGGTAGCTGATCAAAGTTCACGGATTTATATTGTCCTCGCGTTGCCAATATTTTTCTCCTGGCGCTAGTATCGCAATTTCTAGGGACAGTTCCTTAAGTCGAGTAATCATATGGAAACACTACTAAATTAATATATATTACATTTAGGTACTATTACACCAAGGTATTTACCCAACAACCAAGATCTTCTTCCATCACAGTCATTCCTATCGGTAACCTTCGACAACCCTAATTTTTATATTTAAGTTCTAACATACAGTTACTCCTAACTACGTGACTATTAATCCTTCTCGAACAATTTACATTCCAGGCATCTTAGCGTTCATCAATTGCTGGGACGTAAAATGGGCGACCAGAGTGCAAGACATCTTCACGTATGCAAAACTGCTCGCCCTGTTCATCATCATCTTCACTGGAGTTTACCAACTGTTCACTGGTGAGTCCAATTTCCCGAGATTTACCTATTATCTGCAACTTAACTTTCAACGGAAGAAAAACGAAGGTTATTTCTCGTTTTTAACGCCTCATTGTTACCCAATCTCTTGTTTCATATAGGATGAAGGAAACAACCGCCGCCATTGCGTCAGCCCGACTTTCTCCCTTCGCGTAAATTGAGTTTCTTTCGTGGCCTGTCGATCGTCGCAGTTCGTGACCGATTTTTGTCCTGTCATTCTTTGTAAACCTTTATAAACCAAATATTCGTTCGAAAGTCGGCCGATCGTTGCATGGATTTTCAGCCTTAGGAATATTATTTCGAAAGAAGTGGATTAGCGTGAAGTTCCGTGATCGATGGATCCGTTTTTTAGAGAAGACTCGACGATTTCCTATGGTACTCAAGTTTTCGAAATGATCAGTCATCGCAAAAAGGAATTAAACGGATTTTAGTTTCTCGTATAAGTTCTAGTAACGAAATCAACGTATTATCGAAGAATTTTATTTTCAAGAGGAAATTGTTTTACCAAAGAAATCTTGAAATTCTAATATTGACAACTGTCAATTCTTTAACAGCATTCATTTTGTCACAAAAATTGGACGACAGTGAAATTAGCACGAAGTAATTTCAAGATTTTAATTAATTTTCCAATAAGAAGAAAAACAATTATTTAAAAACTACTAAACATATACGACACCAGATGTATGTATATAATAACATATACATGGATAATAAGTATTATATGTGAAAAATGGAACCAAGAAGAAATCAAGGCCAAGTGACTCAGACTCCAATTTGTTGCTTTAATTATTAAACTTGATATATAACTTGACCCAAATAATTAAAATTATTCTCACGATACGACTCGGAATAATTAGTCCAGTTCTATGGACTCCGTCGCGATCTAACTCACGACTATGCTGGACGTGACCTCGAGATTGGTCGAGCGAAGGAACGGCAAGTTGGCAGAAGGCATAAGGGAGTTTCCGTGTCGAGGATCCGGTTGTTTGCTCCGCGTTAAAGGCAGTACAGCGTTGGCAATTTCTTGGTCAAGAACGAGAAAGCTCCTCGTGTTAATGTTCCACCACCCACGCCACCCTTGAGAGCCAGTGTATAAGACCGTTAGGCGTCTTTTCACTTGCCGGACGAGACAATTTGCCCAATCAAAAAGGTGGGCTGAAGACGCGGACGATTCGAGGTGCACGGTGTGCGTGCAAGGAATCGCTTAAATTGACCTATTCACTCCGTTCAAATGGGCCCCCGTACGGCTGAATTATCGACGTGAGAACTTCTTTTTCCTCTTCAACAAGTTGCGTCGAACGATCGTGCGAGAGAGTTTATCGTGGAACGGTGGAATGACGTGAATGGCACGACGAGCACTTGCAGCCATTGTCATTCGATAAATAATCCTGTGCCTCAACTCTCCGCGAGCCCTCGCGTTTTCTTATTGGGAAGAATGATTTCTAATGAGCAGAAATATGCGGATGACCTTGCATCCACCTTACGGATGAGCGTTCTTAACAGATACTCGCTTAGGGACCACGCGAGACCCCACTTGGCCACGCAATTGTCAGAATTGAGGCTTCCGGGTCTAATGTGTCCTTTGGAAAACGTAACATTCCAATCTTCTTCTTTCAAGGGATACTTTGGGAATTAATATTTATGTCATTAAGATGGCCATATGAAGAATTGATTGTAATTAACTATCAAAGATCTAATCTCAGGAGTAAAATAGAGCCTAATCGTTGAAGTAGATTTCCAGTTGTTTATGGTGTTAAATTTCGTTTGCCCGGTGTTTGATTAAAATTTGTATGGAGGTTGGACCGATTATGGCAGCAAAATTTACCTCAATTTCTGCGATAGATTTTGTCCAATTTTTGGCGTTGAATTTTAACTGAATTTCGATTGCTATAATAAATTTTTTCGAAATTTCCATTGGTAAGTTTTATTTTAATCAGTAGGTCTTGCAAACCTTCGTATTTATAGAATGATTAAGTATCTTGAGAAATCATCTTCGTAACGAGAGATCGTAACGAAGGCACGTTGGGGGTATATTCGTTGAAATGGTTTGATCGATTATTTTTATCCGTATTTTGCAGGACACACGCAGTACTTCACATTCGACAACACGAAGACAGAAGTGACGTCAATAGCACTCAGCTTTTATTCGGGACTGTTTGCTTATAACGGCTGGAACTACTTGAATTTCATCATCGAAGAGCTGAAGGACCCCGTCAAGTAAGCGACTGATATGTCATTTCGCTGAATGCGTGAAGAAAAAAGCAATCGCCGCAAAAACTGCAATCGCTGAAAGATACGACGATTATTTATTTGAGGATGAAGAGAAATACCGACGTTGTTTGTAATTTATCTGACGGTGAAGAAATGTACGACAGGGCTGTTTTGATTGGAGTTGCTCTTCTAATAATTATGCAAGCACTTTAGCTAGGCATTTTAAAATTGGAAATGTATGGAAATTTCATGGCGAAAAGTCGTTTAAGAACGTAGACACGTTGACTGATCTCTTTGCAGAAATATCATTGGGAAAAAATCCATTGATATGATGCAATTCAAGATCAACGTTATTCTGTCCTTTTCTGGTACCTTTTCACATCTTGTATTTCTAATTATCGAAGATAGACTGAACGTATACACTGCGTACATTCCTTATTCGAATCGTAGTTTTATGATATGCACGTGATACTGATTTATTACCAGATGTGGGACACAACTTAACCCTTTCGCTATGCAGGACATATATATATATATATATACGTCCTTAAATATCAGTTATCCATTTATTAAAAGCACTCGTGAATGTTCGTGTGTATGTCCTTTTGATATTAATAGAACCTGCTTCAAATGTACTTTCGTTATAGCGAAAGGATTAATAATTGGTAGCGATAAGCTTTTGAAAAGGAATTTTTAAAATGATTTATATTACACCTGTAAATTTTTGTGGTATATACATGTATACGAGTCTCGTATGAAAATTATTCGTCGGTTTTATGCTAGAGCGACAATGAAAATTCCTTTTGTGGTGAAAATATTAAATGACTTGTATTATTTTCTGTTTTTATCTCGAATCTCTTGTGCGAATTTCAATGTACGTAGCTTTAAATTCGCGTATATAAACGGATCAATGCGAGTGGATTTATCGGAACCATGATCCGAACAAAACGTTTAAGAGTCTCGGCCATAGCCACATGCAACGATTAATAGCTATTGCAACAGCGGATCTCGTGTATCTATTAATTAATACAGGGGGTCGTAAAGCCCGCCTTCAATTGATTTAGACACGAGGTCAACCATGGCCTTTAGTTCGGAATCCTAAATTGTTCAAGGTCAGATATTTTTGACTCGCCTAAAATTTTCATCTCACCATTTCGAGATCATTTCTAACATTCCGTACACAAAGGAATTTTTAATCGTGGTAAAAATTACATTTTTAAAGGGACGTGTGTTTTCTTACTTCCACTTTGTTTCAGGAATTTACCTAAGGCTATTGCAATTTCGTGCGTCCTCGTTACTGTCGTTTACGTTCTTGCAAACATGGCATTTTATACGACGCTGAGTCCGTTGGAAGTTCTAGGAAGCGAGGCGGTGGCGGTTGTAAGTAAATTCAAATATTACTTGTGAATATCATATATGCCTCTTTTCTGATACATATATCCGGACAAATTTTTGTGTTACATTATCATATACCAGTCTATTATTTTAGTAATAATCGTTTAGTTGATAAGTAAGTTTTAAAGAAGAAATAAGTTATAAAAAGAATTTGATTATAAATTTGATGGTGATTTAATAATTGCTTATCTTTCTCTTTTTAGACATTTGCGAATCGTTTATTCGGAATTTGTGCCTGGACGATACCAGTATTTGTCGCCCTTTCCACATTTGGTGCAGTAAATGGAATTCTTCTGACGTCCTCAAGACTTTTTTATGCCGGTGCCTGCGAGGGTCAGATGCCTGAAATATTAACGATGATCCAAATTTCCAGGCTCACTCCTACGCCAGCTGTTCTTTGCATGGTACATCTTTCTTTTCATTGGTTCTCAAATTTGAAAAAAAAGCTATAACAATAGGAGAAAGAAGTTAAAATAATTATAATTGAACAGAGATATAATAATTTTTCCGCTGTATACTACTTCATGTATTCAAGTACACATTGATTGATGGAAGATTTCATTTTTCTCATTTCTCATTCTGTAAACTCATTAAAAATGACAATCTAGTAAATTGTTTGTGAAAATATTTGTGCAATCTTTTGATGGAATTGCGTTCATCTCTTGAAAAAAATTAGATTCTTTAGAAGTGTTAGATTGTTCACAGTAATCGATAAAGACTGGAGAAAGTGTGGAGGATGATTGGAATCCTGTTTAATCTGTTGCAGACTTTGCTGTCCATGCTATACCTTTGTTCTTCCGACATCTTTGCCCTCATTAATTACGTTGGCTTTGCCACTTGGGTAAGAAAAATTTTATTTAAGAAATTAAAAATTGCTCTCATTTTACAATTATTTAAAATGTACATTTTATTATTTCACCAATTTTCAATTTTTCCAGAAATACTTTTTAAAAATTTGTTTAGAAATACTTTATTTTGAATTTTTTACTTGGCACTTCTTATCCAACACCTACAAGAGACATCTTTGTACGAATAATAAAGAAGAAATACTACTATATTGAATGAAGATCGTTAAAATCTTTCCAAGAAGTTTATATCGTAGCCTTGACACAATACATCGTTATTTGTTCGTCCATTAAAATTATATTACGGAGTAGTTTACACAGTTCACTACAATGCAAATGAGATCCTGTAATTGTCACTCAATATGTTCTAAGAAATACAATGAACATTGTTGGACGTACACAGGTCAGATGTAGTAGAACACTAATGGTACCTGACTCGCTACGAATTATTAGCACAACGGGATGAGTGACAATTTTCTAATTGGCTCGTGCTGCTCGCTATAATTGACGGTATTATCCGACTTCATAGCGAAGTATAAACGTGCCTACCTTGTGTCGCTTGACCGTCGTTTTGAACCATAAACACGTACATTTCACTTGTTCATTTGATAAGATGTGTGGCCATTTTATAAAAATTTAGAGTAAAATGAAAGTACAAAAAGGATAGAAGAAAGTAAATAAAAGGAAAGAATAATAAAAAATGATAGAATACAAAATTTTATATGTTAGCAAAGTTTGAAAATTATTATTTTAATTGACAAGTTTCAATGCTATTATTGATAACAGTCAATAAAAATAAAAATTTATCTTGTCTTTCATTGCAGTTAAGCATAGGCGTTTCTGTCCTTTGTCTACCATGGCTAAGATGGACACAACCAAAGCTGCCCAGGCCTATCAAAGTAAACCTCTTCTTTCCTATAATCTATATCCTTGCAACCCTCTTTGTAACTATTGTGCCCATGTACGCCAGTCCTGTAGAAACAGGTACTATCTATTGACAATATTATTCTAAAACCACGTTATTCAATCAATATTTTGAATTTAATATAATTTTGATCTTTAATTTTAGGATACGGTTGTCTAATGATCATCTCATCTATACCTGTGTACTTTGTGTTTATCGCGTGGAAAAACAAGCCAAAATGCTTCCAAAGAGGAGTCGGTAAGTATAGACCACAAAAATTTATCCGAGAGGAAATTTCTAACAACGGAAAAAAATGTTCAATTTGTCATTTAAAAGGATTACTTAAGTTTGTGATAATAGTTCAGTTTTTATGATTCCTCTTAAGTTATTTTTATGTTGTCAAATAAAATAGGATTTTTGTTCCGTTTCTCTTTAATTGCAATTTGTTCCCGCAGGCGCCGTTACCAAAACATTGCAGAAGATGATGGTAGTCGTCGGACCAAAGACTAAGGTTCAAAGAAAAAAAGATACACTTTGACATTTTACTCTCTTCATGTCACGCATGCTTAGCATCTGTTGATTTTTATCATCAACTCGTTTGAGCTTGTTGCTTTTCAATTATCATGCATGTTAATCATTTTTATTAAACTTTCACAAGCACTGTGTATATTTTTGGGTATTTATCTTTGTCATATTGTATAGATTTTATTATACTATAATTTTGGTATTCACAGTCAGCAATTAATCACTTAAGCAAGAGGTGCTTCACCAGTACGATTTTTATTCTCAAATTTCCATGATATTTTTTCTGTTATATAATTTTAAATAATGTGGAAATTATCATCATATTTACTTAACTCGTCTTAAAATAAATTATTCGTCTTTAGACTCAGTTTGCTAAACATTATTTAAATTTACGTTTGCACGTTGCACCTACATAATCAGCACCACGCACACTACTCGTACAGTGCTCTAAAACGGTGCACCAATACAAATTGTGATTAACATACTATTAATTCTGAAATTAATTATGCAACAATGTCCGACTGCTGACTTTTCTAACTTTAATTCCTCGGTCATGGCGTTGTCAGCTGAGTACCAATCAGTCTCTAAATCTGTTTAATTACCACGCTAAATAAGTACATAATTCTCTGTTTTTTTATTTCATTTTTATTTTACTTAGAAGAATAAATTAAATGTTGCAAATGTTACTTCATTTTTGCTTTATAGAAAAGGATATAATTTATTTTACAGCTTGACAACTCCAAGTCGAATGTAATAACTAATCATCTCTTTCTCTAGAATGCTTCATCTAACATAGATTAAAAGACTAAATTCCTGTAATTGTTGTTTGCAGTAAGCGTCACGAAGTTCCTGCAGAAAATAATGCTGGTCGTCGGCAAGTCGAAACCCGCTCAGGTTTAACCGCAGTCAGAACGGATCTTCAGTTCTCACAACGATGACTTCCGGTCTCAAGAGAACCAGATAGTGTTCAAAACACTCAGAGAATACTTTTCTTTTAAAAGTATTTATACTTATTTAAAAACTGAATTTAAAAAAGCAATGTAACATTCAAAAGTAGACTACAGTTTCAGTTACAATTATAATAGGGTATTGAGAAACTTGAGGAGTCAATCCAACGTGTAGTAGTGTAAAGTCTCATATTTCAATACATTTCAGTTACTATTTCATTATTGTAGATTATATTCTATATTTTAAAGTCTAGATTTAATTTGAATAATATATATTTTCTGAACGTAGGAAGGCGTTCTGATCAGAGACAGCCATATCAAATCAGAGCGCCTATTAGAAAGCAACTACAAACTGGTTCTCTCGCCCGGGTGTCATCTTTGTTAAGCTGGTATCAAGATTTCCGCGGAAATTTATCATGAACGCGTTTTCAATGGAGGCGTAATATCATAAATAACCAATGACCATAAAGAAATACTGTACTTTAGCATAAAAAGTACCAACAAGTAATTGTCAGAAGAAAACATGATTTGCTCCTGCATTGAATATGCGAATACGACTTGAACAGTTTATTGTTATTGTACTGTTTCATTACACATTGTATCATTTCCATTATCATGATTCGACCCTTCGTTTCAAGGTCACGACTATTAAGCCTTGAGTAACAAACTTTCAATTCAGAGAATCATTGGCTCTTATATTATGTTATTCTTTCTCCTTGTTATCTTAGGAAGATAATGAACAGTATTTAATGCTTTATAATGTAAGTTATATTTGTTAACTTACTAATAATAAGTTATATATTAACCATTAGAACATTTGCCCAAAGAACAGCAAAAAAGCAAAATGAAACAGAAAATATAATGTAACTGTATACAGGACCACGAAGAATTAATTATATGACTCTATATTTGATATGGTGTTACAACCATAAATAATTTTTCCAGTATATTAAGAGAAGTGAAGAAACGAAGGGTGAGAATATTATAACGCGCTAGCATTTGATCGCATAATAAGAATAATCATGTTTTACTGCCACTGTTATTGGCGCGTACACCATAAATACATCATGAATTACACCGTGAATACATCATGCAATCGTAAAGCTCAAGGTTGTGAGCAAAATTTCAATTCTCCATCGATCCATCAGGAAACGGACAGCCACTCGAGTGACTCTGGCTATTTGAATATCCTTCTTTCCTCTCCTACTCCATTCTAATTAGATTTTGAGCGCGTGTTTAATCGAGAATTTAATTTCGTGTCTGTGAAGAACAGAGCAAGCTTACGAGCATACGAATTTTAGGGTTTTTATACTTTTTTAAGCGTAATCTAAGATCTTTAAGACATTTAGTCGATGTCCTAGCATTCATAATTTTGCAATCATTTCTTCTTTCTTTTTATTTCTTATAGTGAATGCATGTAGTGCGAATGTGCCAGAGATACATTATATAAGTTTCTGCAAGATAGTTCTATATATAGTGTGAATTTTAATCTTCAACTGGTAGAAATAGGCTCAGAATAAAATTTTTTGTATAGTTAGATTTAAATATATTATACGTTTAATTATGTTAGATGTATGGTATTAGAGTATGTACAGAATTAATTAATCACTAATGAAAGCTTATTTTTTGTACTTGATGGGAGAAACATGGTATAGAAACAAAAAGTATACTGTATAAGAAAATGATCAAAAATTAATCAATTTATTTCATTAAATATTATAATCAATATTGAAATAAAAATACAGTATTGTTTGTGCTGTATTTCTTCCATCCACATTAAAATTATCTGAACTTTTTTACTTTTTTAGTTTATTACTAAATTTATTCCTAAACATTGAAGAAGCAATTGTAAATTAAATTAATTAAAATGAAAGAAACCTCAGCATACCAGTTGAGGATTGAGGATTCTGTTTAAGTTTATTCTTAATACAACAAAGACACTGCAGAATCTAAATGTCCCAAAGCTTTCTTTTTTTTTTTTTTTTTTTTTTAATTTTATTAAATATCAGAAAGAAACGAAAGAAGAAAAATATCAGGTAGCTCGTAAGATTGTCCTGTCCAATTAACGAGTCTAATTTAGTTAAACTATTGCGAATGTCTTAAGACTTAACACTTTATCCTCGCCCTCATCGTTCATGGATGCCATTACTTTCGCACTGTGATTTTTATTTGCGTATTTTCATTTTTGTAAATATCAAGTTTTGAACACGACTGCCGACGCACGGACCTTTCGAGTAAAATTTGGGAAAACTCACTTTTTTCTCGCGGATGCAATATAAATAAAAAATATTCTTTGTAAACAACGATTATCATAGAGTTCAGGCAAAGTTGATAACTCGTGAGATTTAGGTTGATATAAATTTTTAGGGTAAAATGCGATAATTATGCGACTTATTTTAACACCTTAACATATCCAAAAAAATATAATATTTTAGAGATTAGTTATATTACATGTTAATTACTTTTTTACCAGTTTGGAGTAGTCGCAGTATTGTCGCATTTTCTTTTCAAACTTTTACGATACAGTTTTCAATTTTCTCTGGATTTATAACGAAGACAAAATTGATGATTCGTAACTTCATTTGGAACTTTTTTAGGTATATTTACCGATTCTTCGAACTATCGAGATTTTTACATATTTTAACAAACAAAAAAGATATTAAAGTTTTTAACCTGGATGATTATAGAATACAACGCGGAAAAATAATTCTGGTAATACCGAACGGCAGAAGAGAGGTTAAATACCAGCATATCTGTAACAAAACTATTCTAGGACCAAGTTTTGTTTAAAGAATGTTCTCGGGAAGTCGGAATTCGCCGAACTAAAAAAACGTCTTGTTGCGTCCATGCATAAAATCCTAAAATAATTTAGTTACTTTTATCGGGATTCGCCTATTTTAAACTGTTTTTCAAAACAGAATATATCTGGTGGTCAAAAAATTTGGATGGAAGTAAAGGAAAACAATTTCATAAGAATTCAGCAATAAGTTTGTAAAGTATAATATTTTTTTATATTAACTTATTTAAGTAAATTAACTGAATATTAATTTAATAATTATTATTTCATAATTACTGCTAATTTATCTTTCTGTTAACAAAGGTAACCCTTCTAAAAATTCATAAAAAATCATGTGTTTCAAAATCTGTAAATTTTTTAATTTTTCTCTTTTCTTTTGTACATTCTATGATTTAATCTTTTTCAAGTTGATTAATTCATTATTTTTAAAAACAATCAAGTTGGTAGAAAATAATTTTCTTATTAAAAAACATCTCTTGCTAATTATTACAATTTTCTGGCCACCCTGTATACTTCAATCCTATCGATTGCATTAATATTCTTCAAAACAAGACTAAACAATAAAATTAAACAATTTAAAAATTCGAAGAATTACTAAATACTCATTAGCATATTTTTAATTAACAATCGTCCATATTGGAATTTACAAATTGATAATTACAATTATTATGACTGATTCGGACAATACCTTTAATCTAATTCGTCACAGTTTTAGTATTAAAATATATTAAATACAAAAAAAGAAGGAATTATTGAAACTCTTCATTGCGATTATCTAGTTTTCCGTCGTTTAAATATTTTTGTTATGAGACACACTTCGACGATCATCCCGAACCCTCATTGAAAATCGACCAGAGTGTTTATCGATGCGTGGCCTAGTCGATCCTCGATATTTCGTCTAGATTAGAAGTCTGAATATATAGTTGTAAACGCGTCAGGTGAATCTCTTCCACAAAAAAATCAGTCGATTGAAAAAATGAAAACTTGGAAATCATACACATTTTTATAACTACCGCTTTCTCTTATTTCATAATTACCGTATTTATGCTATTATTGCATTGAGACAGATATTATAAATCACTTGGTAAATCGATTTACTTCCATTAATTAAGTATACAAAAGATAGAAAAAGAAAGAGAAAAGAGGAAGCGCCAGCGCCATGAACTGACACTAGTGGTAGCGGTTTTTTTAAAAAATAAGTTATAGTTAGGCGAGGAGAAATTGTATATTTTAAAAAATGACAGCATCGATGGGCATTCTGACATACGTGACAATAAGCATCTAATTAATTAATTAAGCAGGAGTAAGTAAGATAAAAAAGCAAAAAAAAAGAAAAAAAGAGAAATAAAACGAAGAATTGAAATGTTCGCCAGAATTGGATTTTTGTATTATTTTTTCTTACGTTGCGAAATACCAGTCTGTACTTGAAATGGCTTGCGAGGAAAACGAAGAGGAGCAACCTGCTTGGACACTTCACTCTCTAGTGGTTGCATCGTTTTTGTTTCATATTCATGATTAAATTTTTAAATAAAGGTTGTATTATTTTTATATTGTACATATAATAATAATATAACAATGTAGAATTATTGTACACGAGATAAATACAATATTCGAAGGGTTTGAAAGTACCGAAATTGGGAATCGTGCGAAATAAATTGTTAAAAATTGAAAAATTTTCTAAAAATCTCTGACATCTGATTAAAGTGACATAAGTCAATCAAAGGATGAAAATGGTGAAAAGAAACACTGGTACAAAATAAAAACTCTGCAACCACAATGACGAGTATATAAAATAAAATATGAGATTTCTTGTTAAAAATCACGATTAAAAAAAAGATAAGCAGTAGCTTAGGATCTAGACGAGAAAAAGAAAATGGAAGTGCGTATGGGACGTGCAAACTGTGACAATATATTGTATTGTATAATACGTGTGTTACTTCCGCCAATCCCTTACACCCTGTAACATAACCTCTTGCTGAGTGAGTAATATCAGCTTTTGTGAAATAAAAATAAAAATACAGAACACTATTGATAGTACGGCTGCATCGAAATGTTTAAAAAATTGAAAAATGAAAATATAAGATCATTGAAGAAACAATGAGTGGTTTTGAAAATATTGGAAACATTATTTCATAAAAATATAATAAGCTTGTACTGCAAAGAAAGGCGGCTTTATAAGATACGTTCTTAGTTGAAAATATATTAATATTTTTTCTTTCTAATGTGCTATGTTTAAGAGCAATAATAAGAAAATAGAAAACTTTTCTTGGTTATATGCGCGTCTATATTTGTATGTATAAACATATAAGTTATAAATACATAACGTTCACATATTTATAACTTATACACAATATATATAATATATATTTATAATATTTATAACTTTGTCCACAGCAGTTGTACACATACAGAGATTACAAAAGAAAAGAAATTTCATTTTGCTTCGTCGGTGCGTCAGGAACAGAAATTTACTTTCTCCCGTTACACTAAAATCTAATTTTTATTAGAAATTACGAAACAAGGAGAAAAAGAAAAATGAATCTTCCAGGACAATCTCGGTTAATACTTTTAATGTAATTAAATTTACATAGAATCGTGATTTTTTGGTTACTCTTTAGTACCATTTTTTAAGTAGTGCCGTTTGAACATTTTATTAGCAATGTTATCGAACATAGATTCTTTGATACTAATGAAAAGTACGATCTCTTTTTTCAGAATAATTTAAGTAGGCATAATTAAATGAAAAAATATGTTTCAGTGACATACGCTTCATTTGAATCGTGATGTACGTGAGAAAATTCGCAAAAAGAAACCGAGACTATCGTCACTGGGACGCAAGCTAAAAGCACGTGAAATTAAAATGATGAATATCGCGTGATCTATGGTACATAAGTTGCTTTTTTAAACTGGCCTCGATCCAACGAGGATTCACTCAAATTTGGGTAAAAATAGTATTTGTAATAAAGAGTAAATCGAATTAAATACATCAAATTATCTAACAAAAATATACCAATAGTGTATCATCCTAGTAAAACAAAATTATTATAACATTGAAAAATAATTCATATAATTCATAATTTAAAAATAAAGATAAAAATAAGAAAGAATTAAAAGGTTAGGATTTAAAAAAGAGAAAAAATAGTAAATTAATTTTTTTAAATACTATTTTACCCTCATTTCACTCGGTATTATGGGAACATCGTTTTTGGAATCCCATGGTGGGAAACGTATACACGTTTATACACGTTGATCCATGGCATTTTTAGTCTTTTATTTTACGCAGTTGCACGTGGCAGCGGGTAAAAAGGAGTGTGGAAGAAGGTATACGATATAAATACAATGTGATAATCTCACGCGAGTATTTCCGCTGTTTAGCGAAAAATTCCCCACGACGATGGGGTTTTTTGCTACCGCTTGTTACTTCCTTGCACCTATACAAACACGCATATCTACGCCTAATTTAGTCGCTTTCTGTTCGTATAGAATTATATAACTATCGTTTAATATCATCGCTATAGTATATATTATGTACAAAGGAGAACTTTCACGTGCTTGCACGGAGCTTCTGCTTTGCTGATGCTTTCTCGCGATTATTGAGGCTTCTCCTCAGGGAAATATGCACCAAGACACTTATCGTTTTTCAGTTACAAAGGTCGTTGTGCAATCAGTACACCAAGTAACTCCAAAGGAATAACGCTAAACAATTTTTGTATTGGTAATTTTGATACTTTATCCACATAATATTTCAAAAAACAAGTACCTATGTCCGTTTTCTTTTTCAGGAAATATAATAATAGACAATTAACTCTGTCGGTTCATCATAGCAGCGAAAAATAATATATTAATAATTAAAAGATATAGAGAGCTAATTACCAGTTTTTTAAAGTAAGAGTTATCCCAATGCAATTTGGTAACCACAAACGCCTTTTAAAGTATCCATCTTCTACATTGCACTTAGATTATCGCGAACAGAAGGTAAAACAGTTGCACACGACACTTGCACGAAAAAGTGGAATGATTTAATATTCGCGCCATCACTTCTCTTCTTTACATTTCATCGAAAAAATCATTTCGTTCCCTGTACTATGTGAAACGACACAATATACAAAAATGCTTGATTTAAAAAAAAAAAAAAAAAAAAAAAAAAAAAAGTAAAAGAAGAACGTTAAACTCTACGTAATTTATACATGACGTAAAAAAAGAAACAAAAAAACTGGCGAATGGACGAAGACACGCTTCTTCTAAAGGAAGAACAAGAAGTTATGAAACGCTATCTGACGGGCACTAAACGAAATTCCATGACATCTGTCCGCCAGAATTCGAGGTACTTATACGAGAATATTTCTTTGTCTCTTTTGAGCAAAAGACACGTACGAACATTGTCGTTTTTCCTCGTCAAACACGATCTACTAAAGTCGACCGATTTTTTTTCTTCTTCGAATACGCCCGATAGCTCGCAAAGAAATTAATAAATTAATAAATGGAGCTGGAGGACATCAAACAAAATCACAGTTGAAAGCACTGAGAGATTCCTTTCGTAATCTGAAGTATCTAGACGTCAACTTTGAGTCGGTGACGTCGCGCCAACGAACAAATTACCGGCATTTTCGCTTATACGATATTCTTTTCCCCGTCGATAATTAATTGTTTATAGCCTAACTTACGATATTAGGAGTAATGCAAAATTACATCGCTAATTTAAAACCACCTCGACGATTCGAGAATTAATTCGACATAATTCAGTACGATATTCGTGATTTTTAAATTTTTGAATATCATATCTTAGTAAATTTGGATAAATATTGGACGATATTTACCAATTTCTTAAACGTCTTTATAACTCGTTAAAAATTTTGCAATTCTTTTCGCTCAACGTGTCGAAATAATTTGAAAATTGTTATCCTAAGATTAATTGTTTCTCAAGACCGTCATCGGTAGTTAAACAATGAGAATTCTACCGCAATTTGTACGAGTGACACGGTGTTGTATCGTGAGCGATTAGAAACTCACAATTCAACCGATAAACGTTTACATCTATCTCACTCGATCCAAATAATAAATTCGAAAAATTGTTTATCGGTTGAATCGGGTTAACGATAGATATGATCAATAATAGGTCGCACCGTTATTCGTGGATTAATTAATAATACGTGTTTTTTTCCCCTTTTAAATTACTAGATCGGTACCTGTTACTGAGACATACATGTCTGTTTACTTTAAATACGCAATAGTACATAAATATTACTAATGAATAGACTGTCAAGCAAACATTCCGTAAATATAGGCAATCATTGAGAACAATTGTACATAATGTATCATTATATAAAACAATCGTATCGAATTAAAATTGAATTCATGTATATCTATAAAATTTGTGTAAATTAATCGCTTGCCAGTCCATTCATGCTGTACGATCAATATACCTCGGCATGATGTATAATATAATCCTTGGAAAAAAAAGGAACAAAATGGCGAGAATCAAAGACCAATAAAACGAGTCACGTAACCGTCACAATTCATCAATATTAAAAGACATTACTGCTTCTGGATTCGCTATCAGCCTCGTATTCTCGTTTACATACTTATCGCGAATCCTTTATCGATTTTCGATAGCGCAAAAATTCTTCTCAACATTATCGTATAAATAAATCTGAGTGTGTGCCTGGTAGTACTTGTACGCTTCGTCATCTGTGCGATTCATAAATTTTTTTCTCGAAAAGGCCTTGCAAACGTTCGATCAAAAGGTATGGTTTCTCGATATACTATTCGAACTGAATCATTTGTAGAGAGAAAAAATGAATCGCATACCGATTTGTGCGTATTTCAGGACGGGTTTCTCCTCATTTAAAACCATTCATACTAAAAAAGAAGAATTATGTATATGTACACGCAAACATCCGTCAAAAAGTAAAAGTATTATCAAAACACAGACTTTCAACGCTCCCTAAATGCATCTATCCGCTCGAGTCCCACTTGAGAAGAAACTTGAACTAATTAGGCAGATGATGATTACACTGCTCAAAATAATTAGAACATCTCGTTCTTGAACTTAATCCTTAATTTACACAGTAGCCTGGAATTTTCGAGACATAATTTGAGTGTAGGATTCTACTTTGAGCAATGCAATTTATATATATTCCAAAATGAAATTGGAAGATTGTTACTCAACAAAGAACACATTAACCGCAAAAGATTTCGCCTTAATCTTAGACCACGTTCTTTCTACATTGCTCAAAATAACCAGGGGACCATAGACGTTGAAAAAGTAATAAAGTATCAAGAATAAAAGATACCAGGAATATCTTTCAAAATATTAAATTGCACGAATAGGAGCGGTCCTATGATTATTTTGAGTAGCATATAGATTCAACTTCAGTTAGAATACAAACTGAATGAAATGAATGCCTCTGAAACTTGCTAAAAACGAAAGAAAATTTTGTCGGTTCCATCAGAGCGTTCTTTTCCCATCAAATCTTTATCATATTGCAATTTTCGCATGTACATTTGCTTTATCCCTCAATAACGCTCTTGCTATCATTATCGCGTGTGCACGCGCCTGTCGGCTGCACTAAGTACACATACAAAATTACATGCACGCGACCCCAATTACCGACGCGTAATTGCGTTGCTCACATACGTATCTACGCGAACATTTCACACGTATGGACGCTGAAATAATGCTTGCTTGTTTCTGTACATTGATAGCGAATGTACTTAAACACACATATGCACCAATTAAATAAAGAACATCATTCAATGATGGCCATAAGAGACAATAAGAATTCTACATTTGATGCATATCTACTGTTAAATTTTTTGCATTTAATGAAATATATATACGAGTGCTGCACACGCAAGAATGAATATATTTCATAACCAATTTCGTACGCGAATAATTGCATATTTCGATGTAACGACTACATTTATAGTTGCACTCTATCCTTCATTTGCAACAAGAGCAACATCTCTCTTGGATTTCAAGAACAGGATACGCTATTTCTGAGTTACCCTTACTACAAACGCACTTGAGTGTATCATCCTAGCGATTATCAACGGATTCGTCGCTCTCTGCCCCGAGAAACCTGAGAAAACATGCGTCAGTGTGCTTACAGAGCTGACAGTGCCTCCTCTCAGCCAGCACTCTTATACATGAGTGCGAATCTTATGGGATTGCACACCAAAAATCGGCGCCAATGTCACGGAGCTGTTTCGTTCTTGTTCTGTTTCCTGTCTTAAAGCAGCTTCGGGCAGCATTTGAGCGCCCGTCGGCGTCGTCCGCAACGACGACGTCGCACGGACGACGACGTCGGTTGATTCACACTACTCGCGTTCATCTTGGATCAGCTGGCTGGCATCTCCGAGTTTTGGCTCTGTGACAACTCCAACAGATGGCACTCTGATAATGGTATCTGTCTTGTACGAGCACTCTGCTTTTTCTATATTCAAAAAAATCGAATATTTATTATAAAAACTGCGACTATTCTCCATGTAATATCAATTATGATCAATATTGTAAGCAGGAAATGCGTTAATCAAGCGAATATTTCAAGCACTCTTATCTTATGCTCTCAGGTCTGACTTCAGGTTTTTATTTCCTTCTTCAGATCCCACGTGTTTAGTTTGTTTAAACAAAAATACAAGGAAAACTAGAAGAAAAAATTCACCTGTCTTCGGAATGGGAAACAGCCTCTGTTCTCGTTATTCGGTGGCGGATGGTTGATCAACAGATCAGGAGTAGGTGTGTTGTTAGGACCTAACACGTTCAGTTCCTTAAAACACTCAGTCTCTATCATCTGGAACAAAGAGGGCCAGTTTCAGTGTGCAGAAAATAGAATCTCTTTGATCGGACGAAACATAAATCTTTATGATAAACTGAGCTACAGTTGATCAGCATGTAAATCATTCTGAATGCTCAAACGAGTTCATTGGACTCAGACCATCTATGACGTACAAGAAACACTTTCGGTGTGCTATATTTTTCGGTATAAGTGGAGAAGTAGTACCTTTTGATATTCCATTACGTCAGGGCGTTCACCCTTTCTCTTTGCAGCCTGATATAAACACCGGGGAAATGTTAAAAGGCTTACCTCGTTCTGCCATGGAATGGATACGCTGCCGGTATTGAATTTGCTGTAAAAGGTATCGTCGGTGGCATCCAAATTGACACCTTTCACCGTGGAGAACTGCTCAATGTCTAACACATCCTTAGCGTACACTGCATGAGGCTGCAAGCAGAAACGATCAACGTTAATGATTTCCATAAGGAACATAAATAACAGTCTTTTCTGATACATCTGCTGAATCTTTAAATACAAGGGAGAGATATATAAAGTGCCATGTAGAATTTTGACCCTCCAACTATTGATTTTCTTAATGACTATTTATTTTAGAGTAATCTAGACACTACTATGCGATTCCGCATAGTGAAACGAGGAATTAATAAATCTTTGCGAGTAAACACACAGGAAAATAGTCAAGAATAATCAATATTAACTAACAAGGAAACTGCAAAGCCTTCGAGTGACGGATTTGGTTCAAATTTTGTAGGATGGTAGATTTAGATCCCTTGATGGTGAAGGTATATGATTGTAGGTGGCACTACTCAATAATTTTTAAGATATTTACAATTGAAGATTTATCGTAGGTTTAATTCGATTCTGTTTAGAGAGGTTACCATGTAATGGTTTGGTGTAGTAGCAATCTTCATCATCAAGGGAACTAAATCTACCATCCCACAAAATTTGAACGAAATCGATGATTGGAAGGCCTTGCAGTCCCCTTGTAAGTTGTATATTTGAAGGATCTCAAGCTTCCTCGGTAGAGGAATACCGAAAGAGTTATGTAACATAAGTGCCATTCTCTCCAAATGAAGGAATATTAGAAAAGACAAAGTAAAATCGGCTTGAACGACACCTACTCACATCCGGTACAAACGGCGGTTCCCACATACCGGCCTCGACCCTCTTCCAGTTTAAGCACTGAAAAAAGCTGTGTAACTTTACTTCCTTAGCGCCGTGTCTGCCACACCTGCAACCCAATCTGTTCTTCGGACTCTTCTTCAATAATTGCTGGCACAAACCTTTCGCCTCCTCGGTGAACTTGGTGGAATACCTTTCCTGATCCTCCTTCACTCTCCTATCTACCTCCTCTCGCTTCACCTTCTCCTTCCTGGCACGAAACGGAGCTTGCCCTTCTATCATCTCGTACAAAAGGCACCCAAAACTAAACCAGTCCGGAGAAAATGTATATTTCTCGTTATCGATCACTTCTGGGGCCATATATCCAACTGTTCCTACCCTTCCTGTTACCATATCGCCCTCTGTGATCTCCACAGCCAGACCAAGATCAGATATTCTCACATGTCCATGATCATCCAGCAGAATATTCTCCGGTTTACAGTCCCTGTAGACTATCCCTTGTAAATGCAAGTGCTCCAAGCCACAGACTACCTCGGCTGCATAGAACCTGGCCCTGTTGATGTCGAAACCAGGCTCTCCGCCCATATTATAAATGTGGAACTTCAAATCCCCGCCGTTCATAATGGTCAGCACTAGACATAACGCGTCCTTGGTCTCATAGGCGTATGCCAGGGATACGACGAATTTAGAGTTGATTTTCTGCAAGATATTCTTTTCTATGAGAACCATGGCCTCCCCCTTACGTTTCTTGATACGTTTCTTCTCCAATTTCTTGCAGGCGTACATTTTGCCTGTTGCTCGTACCTGACAAGCGCACACTTCGCCAAACCCACCCTTTCCTAGCACTCTGTACATACGGAAGGTCTTGTACGTGACTGGCTGGGCCTCCAACCACTTCCACTGGAGATACCTGGAAGAAGCGAGTAATAGTTAGAATTGATGTCATTGATAAGAGTGGTATTGCCATAGACAAATATTTGGCGATTAGGGGACTCTTAATGGGAAGCTTTGTCGGAAAGATAAGGATAAGATTGATTGACAGTTCTGGCTGGAAATTTGAGCGGAAGGCTAGAGTGGTTATTCTAGATAATTTTTCACTGAACACGCGGATCAGCAAAATCCAATTACGTTAATTTTATTTTCCCGTTCACCACTACTCCATAGATTATTATTATGTTTTACAGCCGTTTGTCATTCGCGAATAGTTTTGAAATATTTTTAAAAGATAAACTTTCAAGATGATTTCTCGGAAAGATTTCCCAAAAGGAGTTGGCAATAATGGGTCGCCAACTTTGAAAATTACCTGTAGAAGTAAAAGCTGGTTTGAAAAGCTGAAAAAGGTTCACCGGCCAGGAAGTTTTTCACGGTCTGCGCGATCTCCACAAAGAGCTCCTTGCCACCAGTGCTGAGCCTCTGCTCACACTGGGCGATCAAAGAATCTTTTAGGATGTCGACGACCTCCGAGCCCTCTCTCTTCAAGTATTGCTCGAACAGGTCCTTCGCCAGCTCGGTCCGATTCTCATCCATCTCGATCTCATACTTCTCAATGGCGTCCAGGAAGAGGTTGTACCGATGGTAAGCTGGCTTCTTGTCCTGGCAGAACTGCCTGAACAACAGCCGACCGATCGGCTGTTGATCCACCACATAACTGTACCTGATGTCTGCATCAATAAAACAGGCAAACTGTTAATGAATAGCGATCGTATCTTTCTAAATTCCTTTTAAGTCTCCATGATCCATATAAACCGCAAAAACACCTCTATATATTCTTCACAAATGAAAAACAAATTTAATCTATCACTGATATAGGTAGGTTCAAAACTGCAATTTTCTAATACTATATTTTTGATTTCTATTAACTATGTCTGAATTTTTAATATTAATAATTTTATCAATATCGAGAAATTACTAATTAGTAAATAAGATTAGCAATTTTATTAATATTAAAAAATTAAAGAAATTCGAGAGAATATTAATAATTGTTTTTTTTGAGGTTATTTTTAATTGTATTATTAATTCTTCCGTATTTTCCCGACTTAAGTCCGAAAGTTTCTATACCTGTTGCATTTTCGAGAATGAAAATTCAGTGGTACGTAAATACAATCAGTTTGACGCCATTTTCGACCACGTGACCGCAGGTTCTGAAACGCGCTGTAGAGTCGGTCGAAAGCGAACGTTTGAACGAGGGTGAAGCGAGGTCTAGGCGGTTCCTCAGGCATCAATCACTCAATTACGCGTCGTGTTAATTTCTTTACGACCACTCGATGGGCTCCCATCGCTTCTCAATTATGAAATGCCGCGTCGAGAACCGTGGGACTAATCGAGTTGCGCGGGGTATATTCTTGCGCGTGTTCGCCGGAGAGCCCGATAATCCACGGCCATTTTCGACGTGATTTCGCGATTATCGGCAGCCCTGAAATCCCGCGGTTGGTTCCCGGTGGATAAGGTCAGGTTGGAGAATTAATTTTGCGAAACTCACAATGCTGTATATCCATTCGCTTTCTCCTACGAATTTCGCGTATAAAAATTAACATTTCTTGTCATATTGGATTCAAATATTTCGCGCCAGATTGCTTGAAAAGTTACTAGATTTCACTCGTGTCCAGTTTGTCGCACACAAAATGGCCGGCTTTCTTCTCAAATTTCTTAGTATATATAATTCCTAAAAATATAGTCTTCCAGATATTTTGTATTAAACTGACTGAAAAGTTACTAGATTATCCTCGTGTATAGTTTATTACACACAAAATGGCCGTCCTTTTCTACGAATTTCATAAAAAATATTCCTAAAATATAATTCCTAAAAGAATCATGTATAATTTTGAATAATGTAAATCGAACATAACCTTTCTAAAAATACTAGTGTATAACAAAAATGGCCGCCTCATAAACGAGTGAAAAATTGACTTGCAAAATTTAATGGGAACATGTGCTGTACAATAAAATTTTATTGAACGATATTTATTGTATTACACATCGAGCAGGTGATCACGTGATCACAGTTTTATTAACTTCCTTATAAAATGGCCACCTGCCATTTTATATCTAAATATCAAAGCGAACATGGATCAACATTGAATTCGAATAGTTTGCTTATTCGAGTTTAAATTTGAACATAACGCTGCAGAAGTTGCTCGTAACATTAATATAGCTCTCTACGAAACAACATTAACCTATTTTTCACCGATAATAAAAATTTCAATTTATTTCCTATCCAAATAATATATAACAATGGATTACAAAATTAGATATCGTCTGACTTTGAACAAGGAAAGTGCAAAGTCACAATAACATATAAATTAAACTCGCAAAATTATTTACGATGAAATTCAAAAACAAATTTTGAACGTATTATATTTAAAGCTATCAGAAATTGTAAACTAACCCTAATAAATTATTTATGTTACTATTATTTTATTACAATGCTCCCAGTTCAATTTCACTTAACACTAGAACTACCAATTCGTCATTTCGAGTTGTAAAAAAGTAATTACAATATTATAAAATAAAAATACAATAAAAACAATAATTGCTATATTATAAACAAACAAAAAAATAACTAGATGCATATAATTACATTTCTATCTCAGTGAAGGTTATGATTTACAATAATTTACCCAAAAGTAGCCTCAAACTTTTAATAATTGAGATAAAAGGTCCTCAGCATTTTCAGACTCTTCTTGCACAAAATTAAGAAATACATATGTATTTATGTATGTATATCAACGAGAAATATATTATTTATATATCTATTTATCCTAAACACGTCTACCAAAGTCTCTGAAGTTAGCCACATTACAGTATAAAACAACCTAGGAATATCAACCTCCCAAATGTTTAAAGACCCCTTTCTCAAAGCGCCATTTTGTCTAGCAGGTCCCTCTACAATTTCGACCCCTAATCCACCCCAATATTAAACCACATTCAAAACCACTCACCACCCCCCAAAAAATTAAAAAGAAGAAAAGAAAAAAGAATCTCTGCGTTCCCGAAGCCTAACCCAAGCCAGAGTCTACAGGATTACACCTAATCCAACAAATCCTCTGCTCAATAACCAGGAAACTGCGGGTGCTCCCCTACCCAACAGCGATCCATCCAATTTCAATCACAAAACACCCCACGAAACTCGTTGTTCGCCGATCAATCAACCCTGGCTCATCAATCAGCCGTAATATCTCACCCTCTGCCATCGAGTTAGAGGCGTGAGCCACTCCTCCATGAAAGGAGACACTTTCGTCGCCTTGGGCTCTCATCACGGCTTAATTAACCGACACAACGAAGCTTCCAACAGCTCCTTATCTAACCATAGTCTCCTCTAGTTGGCGTTTTTTCACGCTCGCGTGAGATTCAATAATCCGGCACGAGGTCGTCAGAGGGTGACGCGTTGATTAGGCCACGAGACTCATGGGGAAACCGTGATCAGAAAGAGACGGACGGGCAGATACCGTGTCCTAGTTTTGAAAAGGAGCCAGTCGGACGCGATTAACCCTTTATGAGGATGCTTTCGTTTGCACTGGGGTGCAGCCGGTGGTGGAGGACGGCTGAGGGGGTTGATTACGGCTTCTAGTTTCTAGTGGCGATAAATGGCCGATGCAAAAGAAAGATACAGAGGAAACTCGGTCTTATCTTTATGGGGAAAGTCTCGGATTTCGCGATGCAATGCCTCGCTGATGTAGCGAAACGATTTTCATCGGATTTGGAACACCGCAGTGGGTCAGATGGGTGGATGAAAATTGATTGACCTGGGATTTATTCATAATTCATTCGGCTAATGATAGAATTACTTATATTTACTTCTTCAGTTTAGTTAAAAATTGATAATTAGTTTGATTCATAATAAAATTCGAATTTTAAGGTGGTGATGTATATTTACTTCTTAGGTTGAGAATAAAAAATAATTGGATTGAATGGTAATTTTTTTAATTGCGAAAATTAAAAATTGATAATTGGTTCGGTTAATAATAAAATTCGAATTTTAAAATGATAATATATATTTATTGTTTAGGTTGAGAATAAAAAATAATTGGATTGAATGGTAATTTTTTTAATTGCGAAAATTAAAAATTGATAATTGGTTCGGTTAATAATAAAATTCGAATTTTAAAATGATAATATATATTTATTGTTTAGGTTGAGAATAAAAAATAATTGGATTGAATGGTAATTTTTTTAATTGCGAAAATTAAAAATTGATAATTGGTTCGGTTAATAATAAAATTCGAATTTTAAAATGATAATATATATTTATTGTTTAGGTTGAGAATAAAAAATAATTGGATTGAATGGTAATTTTTTTAATTGCGAAAATTAAAAATTGATAATTGGTTCGGTTAATAATAAAATTCGAATTTTAAAATGATAATATATATTTATTGTTTAGGTTGAGAATAAAAAATAATTGGATTGAATGGTAATTTTTTTAATTGCGAAAATTAAAAATTGATAATTGGTTCGGTTAATAATAAAATTCGAATTTTAAAATGATAATATATATTTATTGTTTAGGTTGAGAATAAAAAATAATTGGATTGAATGGTAATTTTTTTAATTGCGAAAATTAAAAATTGATAATTGGTTCGGTTAATAATAAAATTCGAATTTTAAAATGATAATATATATTTATTGTTTAGGTTGAGAATAAAAAATAATTGGATTGAATAGAAATTCTTTTAATTTTGAAAATTAAAAATTGTTAATTGGTTTGATTAATAATAAAATTCGAATTTTAAAGTGTAGAAGAATATATTTACTCCTTGGTTTGAGAATAAAAAAATAATTGAACTGAATAATAATTTTTTTAATCGTGGAAATTAAAAATTGATAATTGGTTTGGTTAATAATAAATTCGAATTTTAAAGTGTTAAAGTATACATTTACCTCTTGGTTTGAAAATAAAAAAATAATTGGATTTCATAATAATTTTATTAATTGCGAAAATTAAAAATTAATAATTGGTTTGGTTAATAATGAAATTCGAATTTTAAAGCGACGCTGTATATTTACTTTTCTATAATAAAAATTATAATTAACACTAACTATAACTATAAAACTTGTCGTCGAGGCAAAATGGAATCTGAAAGGTTCGAGATCAAAAGTTCGCGAAATAATAAATCAATCGTGACAAAAGCATAAACCGGGATATCTCGAATTTCCAAAAATTTTTCAAAAAAGGACACTACGTGAGACACTTGTCGTCTCTCGACAGCAGTTCATCCGACGATTCTGTGCAAGACCGAATCTGGAACGCTGGAGATCAAAAGTTCGCGAACCGAGGACAAACAGTCGCCGAAGATTTTAATTGGCGCGTCTGGCCCAGACCTACTCTCCTCTCTTTCTCACTTATCCCTCTTATCGTCATCTGATTATCAGTCGGCGGATTAGAAGAATAAGAGGATTGAAGGTTCGTTGGAATATAGACGAAGACGAGGAAAATAATGGTCATAACGCATTCATGGAAACTCACCCAGCTTATCTTTTAGGCCGATGCACTGGGAGATGTGTGGGAACTGGAGTATCTTCCGCCATTTTTTACTCTTACCCTTGTTGCTGTCACCACCGCCTGGAAAATAACGATCGAGTTGAAAATTAGCGATAATAAGATCAATGATAAATGACGATTAAATAGGGAATTAAATGGGGAATTGTTTCTTTCTTATTTTTATTTTTTAATTCGTCGAACGTGGAACGTCGAAATAACGTTTGATACGAATGTTCAACAATTCACGGAGGCTGTTAATTATTGATACTGTTGGTACATAGAGGAAAATAAATTGGCGAGGGAACGGTGATTTCCCTGGCTCGGAGCGTTTCAATTATGCAACGGTTCCCGTCTTGCAGCCATCCACGCTAATTAAAACTGCAATAAAGGAGCCATTTCTGCGATTCGACGTTGCGAATGTGCTGGTAAATTGGAGAACGGTGCTTGAGAATTTTCGCTTTTGCGCTGAGAAAAATTCGAGAGGAAGAATTCGATTTCTTGGCGACGACAGTTGAAGTAAATATTGCACGAGAAATTATAAAGGTAGATGTAGTCAATTGTTGAAAACGAGTCGTCCCTTTTCCACTAATTTTTCGCATAAATTTTCATGTTTAATTATTATTCTTACTATCAGCATCGTTATTATTATATAAAACAGTTTGTCTAATTGAGAGATGTTTAAATAATTCGCATAAGAATCCGATGAAAAGATTTCATTTTTATTATTTTTATTACCATTATTCATAGAATTCGTTTATATATGAAAAAGAATTCTGTTGGCAGGTATTATTATTATCATTTCAATCAATTATTTTGGCCAAGAATTTTAAATAATTTTTTTATATTAATGAAAACATTCCGTGGAAAAATCTCGTTATTATTATTATTACCATTATGTAATTAAATTAATTTGGCCAAGATTTTTAAATAATTCGTACACATTCGTTAAAAAATTTCATGTAAATATACTACTATAATTATTATTATTATTATCAACGATGTTTGATGACAACAGTTGAAACAGTTGAAACCCCTATGGGGACACTGATTTTTACAAAATTTGTGTACACGTAAATAACAAAAATTCGATGAAAGTATTTCATCATTATTGTTATTATTATTTTCATTGTTTAGATAAAACAGTTTGACCAAGATTTTTAAATAATTCGTGTGTACACATAAATAAAAAAAATTCGACGGAAGTATTTCATTATTATTATTATTGTTATTATTCTCATTGTTTAGATAAAACAGTTTAACCAAGATTTTTAAATAATTCGTGTATATATATAAATAAAATAAAATTCGATGGAAATATTTCTCTATTATTGTTATTATTATTATTGTTGTTTAGATAAAACAGTTTGACCAAGATTTTAAAATAATTGGTATACATATACATAAAATAAAATTCGATGGAAGAATTTCTCTATTATTGTTGTTATTATTATTATTGTTATTATTATTATTATTGTTTAGATAAAACAGTTTGACCAAGATTTTAAAATAGTTCGTATATATATAAATAAAAGGACGATGTTATATTATATTAAATATATTAATTAAATATATTATATTTCTCTATTACTTTTATTATTTTTCTCATTATTTAAACGAGATAGTTTGACAAAAAATTTTTAAATAATTCGTGTGTACACATAAATGAAAAATATTCGACGGAAGTATTTCGTTATTATTGTTATCTTTATTATCATTGTTTAGACGCGACGGTTCGTGGGAAATTTTGAAATAACTCTCCGTGTATTCGCGAAAAAATTCGACGGAGAGATACGAATGGGAAATTTGCAGACCGTGCAATTATCGTCTCCGACGACGAAAACCTTTTCGAATTTCCACCCTCGCATGTCACTCGCATGCCTCTTCGACTCCTGTCCCCGCTTTGCGCACCCCATCTCCGGCAGAACCTATTTTTAGGGGGTACATTCGGTCACACGTGTCCGCGACGTTATCAGATTGGACCCGCTGCTTTGCTAATTTGTACAAATTGTACGTACAACGATAAGCGTCATCGGAATTCCCTCGCGATCCTCGAACAACCGACGGAATATCTTATTCGCGAAAATCCGACTTATGACAAGGAAAAGTGTTTCCACGGAGCTAATCACGAATTCTTTCTCCGTCGATCGATCAACGAAACTTTATGCCACGGTAATTATAAGTTTCTCGCGAAAAGGAAAACGATGAAAGGGAAAGGCGAGTTCAGAAATGAAAATTTTCCGATAAAAATTTAATGGTTCGACGAATAAGGAATTTTGCAGTGAAAATTATCAGAGTTGAAATATCTGTGGGACTTTCAATGAATAATATATTATAATACAGATGTACCTGATACAAGAAAATTTTATGGAACAAAAATTCAACTGTAAATTAATTTTTCTATAATGGAAATTTGTTAAAAAATTTTGCATTGAAAATTATTAAAGTTAAAATATTTATAGGATATTCTACGAATAATTAATTATAATACAAATATACCTGATACAAGAAAATTTTATGGAACAAAAATTCAACTGTAAATTAATTTTTCTATAATGGAAATTTGTTCAGGAATTTTGCATTGAAAATTATCAAAGTTAAAATATTTAATTATTCTACGAATAATTAATTATAATACAAATGTACCTGAAACAAGAAAATTTTATGGAATAAAAATTCAATTGTAAATTAATTTTTCTATAATGAAAATTTGTTAAGGAATTTTGCATTGAAAATTATAAAAATTAAAATATTTGTGAGACTGTTAACGAATCATTAATTATAACACAAATGTTTCCTAGATAAATAAATTTTTTAATAAAAATGCAGGAAGAAAAGAAATTGAATTATAAATAAAAGTCTGCACAACAAAAGTTCATTAGGAATTTTACGTTAAAAGCTATCAGAATTAAAATACTCTCAGGACTTTAAATAAATAGCTAATTAGGATGCAAATGTAACTGCGATAAGATAAGAAAACTGTACAATAAAAACCAGCCAGGAATAAAAATTCGATTATAAATGAAAGTCCCTGCAACAAAAACTGATTAAGAATTTTAAATCAAAAAATAATATAAATAAAATATTTTATTAAACTTTACACTCGAGAGACGAATTCAATTGTGATTTAATAAAGTTTTGGAGACTGATATTTATTAATATAGTAAATTTAAGATAACGTAGTAGTGTGCGAGGTATTGTTATGTGTTAATTATTATACGATTTTCTATTTACTGTGCTAAAAAATATCGTCAGTCTTATGGCAGGGGATCTTTGAATTCCTACTCTTCCGTAGTGAAGAAATTATCGAGTGCATAGGGTTAATAAACGAATTGTCGTACTAGGAGCGTACCTAAGGTAAGGCAAGAAAAGTAATAATCGTGATGAGTAAAAATAAAATTCTCCATTATGGGTGCATCGAGGATTAAATGGTAAAAAGGAGTGGCAGAAATCTTCGTGATTTTTCAGACGAGCAAGTTCCTGGACCGAGAACGAATGGGACCCCGTTCCGTGGATAATCGATAGCGCAGGGTAGAGTCGAATAGCTTCCGGTCGGCAGGAAACCGCGGGTGAAGTGGAACGGTTCCGTTTTGCCAGCCGGTAATTAATAGTTTCCCGAAGTATCGATGGATCGAGAAAGATTCCATTTTTTCCCGACGAACAGCCCTTTCGATGAACCCACCCCCATACATGTCAATTCCCATGGAGAACGATTCGTGCTCGATTACAAACTTCCAGAATAAATGTCAGTAAGATGGATTAATTACTAAATTACTAACAAACTGACTACACGTCGTCTTCGTACAGAATCAACAGGTTATATCTTCGTTCATTAACGCATTCAATAACGAAATCAAATACAGATACTCGTAATAATTGCGATTTAATTCTCTACTTACCAAAAGTGGTTTTATATCGTGTGATATAGTATAAAATGGCTGATTTATCACTAGAACTATCTAAGGGTTTAAAATGAATTGCTTTAGATCATTTAAATTTGCAGTTGGTGAGAGTATGCAGTTATTTTTGGAAAAATATCGATTTTTATTCGAACGTGATTTATTTATTTATTTATTTTTTAATTATCATCGATAAGGTATATTATAGTTTGGTACTTATTGCAGAGTGGTAGGTCTAGTGTTAAATATTTATTTGGAAAAACGAACATAAATAAATTCATAAAAATTAATATAGGAAGTATAGAAAAATTAAGAAAATCTAGTTCTACTATAAAGGGTGTTAAAAAATATTATTAACCCTCGATGATAAATTAATTTATCATTGGAAATTCTTCTCCATCGTCCAATACCTAATTTTTCACAAAAGGCTAAAAAAGTATTCACTGCAAATAATAGCTAAAATGTTATTGGGAAAGAAAAATATAATCCTACTATAAAGGGGTCTAAAAAATATTATTAATTCCAATGACGAATTAATTTATCATTGGAAAATTTTATCCATCGCCCAATACCTAATTTTTCACAAAGGGGTAAAAAAATATTCACTCTAAATAATAGCTAAAATACTATTAAAAAAGAAAACTGTAATCCTACTATAAAGGGGTCTAAAAAATATTATTAATCCTCGATGACGAGTTAATTTATCATTGGAAATTCTTCTCCATCATTTCTCCATCTAACTCTTCGCAAAACCTGCACCAGCTGAAGTACTATTACATAATCCATAAATCCATAAAATATGCTAATTATTCTTCGAGAATTCCAGAAATTTCCCGATTGGAATATAAAATCCGCAGTGATCAAAAGTTCGGATACATAGGGACCAGCCTTAAACCAACGCTCTCGCGGAAAATTAGCAGAGTCGCCCCTCTAGGTACGCGATTCGACCACGGTCTCCTGCAATCGACTTTCGAGTCTCAAAAGGATCCTCTCTCTCGCGACGGAGAGGAGACACGGGAGAGAGGAGACGAAGGAAATTCAGTCCGGTATCGATCGCCGGCGGAAGGACGAGGGTGCAGAGGAGGATCGTGCAGACCAGGGTGGTTTTTGCGCGAACAGTCGATCGCGTTTCCGCGACCGTGCACTCGAGGGTTGCGGAAGCGGAAAAGAGGGGTCGAGTCACGT